AGCAACAACAACAGCAAGACATGTGGTTCTGGGATGCATGTAATTCGCTGCTCGGGTAACGGCCGCCAGCCAAGGACTCACAACGGACCTGGCTCCAACGCCTCTTGCTTCAGTGTGTTTCTTCTTCTACATAGTTTCCCCCACCCTTCCTGTTGGCTGCCCCGCAGCACTTTTGGAAATGGGTGCCACGAAAATGCCGCCACTTGTGCGCTCTGGCAATAAGCAGGATTCAATAGACGACGACGACAAGGAGGAGGGAGGGAGGGAGGGAGGGAGTGAGATGGTGACGCTACCTTTTGCCCACCCATACGGAAACAGAGAGAAACAGAGACACACACAGAGTAGAAGAGAAAAAGACGAAGAGAGACACACACAAATGCATATGCTCTGGCCATATCCACATAATGAAGTAGAACCACCACGACACGAGGGTTGCCCACTCGCCGAGCACCCCACACCACTCACACCTCGCCCTCCCCCCCTGCCATTCGGAAGAGCAAGCAGTCGCATGACCAAACACCCAACAAAAAGCCGCAGCAATAACAACAGCACTGGGATGGGGCAAAGGGGACAAGGGACACGGGCAAAAGGAAGAGCAAGAGCAAAGGTTCACATTTAGCTTCGTTTTGTCAGCCGAACCAACACGCCCGAAGGAGCAGAAAGAAGCAGAAAGAAACCCAAAAGGAGCTGAAAGAAGAATAGAAAAAAACAGCAGCAGCAGTAAAAGAAGAAATATGCTGGAAAATAACGGAAATAAACTGACAACTGTATCCATAAATGAGCATCAACCAACATTAAGGTTGCTTCATCAATTAATTATGTTCAGATGAATTTCACAATTATCATTATAATTGTCAGGCAGGGAGACTCACAAAGTTCCCTGTTTTGCCATTAAAGACGTTGGATGAAGCAAACGCAAAGGACAGGTCCAATCAGTGGGTCTTAATTTATGCAGAGCTCATCGAAGGCAACATGCAAGCAACAATACTCGTGTATAAATTGTGAAAATATTGTATTCTAAAGATTATTGAGTGACACCCATGAACATCGAACAGTAGGAGAACCACCAGTAAAGCCCATCATCGCAGTCCTCGTTGCCTGCCAATCGCCAGTTGAAAGAAAATTCAATTAAAAATCAAACCAATGAAAGAATATTTCGTAATACAGAAATGCATACAGCAAATAAACGAGGTAAGACCGAGAGGGAGAATGTGAAAATTTCTACCACAAAAATGCCATGAAATGCAAAAAATTACTTCGCACCGAAGGCACTTACACTCTTTGACCATATGCGATATGTTCCTGCCCAGAGTTAAGGACAAACATATCAGAATAGTTGAAATACCCTTCTCAAATGTCATTTATAGAAAGAAAATCCACATTGGCTGTGGCAAATGAGTGGACAATGCCACATCGATTTGGATAGTGGGTGGTCTCAGGGATAGGATGAGTGTGCACTCATTTTTTGCATTCCATATTTTGATGGTGCTGGGCCGTAACTGTGAGCCTAGCACCTCTCCTGCTGCTGCTGCTGCTCCACCTCACTCCCCAATCCGACACAAACGGCATAAATTCAATTACTGAAAATATATCCAAAGTGCAGCCCAACAACAAATTCAATTTACAGCTAACCATTCCAAATAACCCCAGAGAGAGAATAAGCGAGAGAGAGACTGTTTTCTGCCCTTCCAACTATTTTTTTTTTACAGTTTGAATTGTGTTTGAAGAGTGCCATTGGAAGGAGTGCAGACAGGGACGAACACAAATAAAATGTCTGCGTTCGTGTGTGTGCATTACAAAATGCAATCGTTCGGCCACCACCTCGCCCTGATACGCACCACTGTGACAGGCACGAACCTATCCTACCTCCCCCACAACCTATCCACAGCCCGATACCAATACCAATCCCAATCTGCGGGCAGCCAGCCAATCTCCCTTATATCCGCCCCTCTGCAGCACACCTCTCCTCTACCCATTTGACATTCAGTCAAGCCTGTTCGATGTTTTTGTTTATACATATGTATGTAAGCTTCTCGTTTATCTCTACCCTTTCAAACAGTATCCCACACTATTTTAAACAAAATTTACGTATTACTGGATTGGCATCCAAATTCCTTTCGATTTGCCGCACTTTTAAGAGCCCTTTAACAAGCATTTTTAATGCAATCCAAACAGCAGAAAACTTTAATTTCATAGGGTATTCCAAGCTGCGACTACCGTAGCTATCCTTTTCTGCTGTTGCTGTTGTGGTCGCTACTGGTTGCTCTCTCTCTGTTCTCTGCTTCGAATTCCGAATTTCTCGCTTATCTCTTGGCACTTAAGCAGCGCTGCCTGCTGCGGCTCCTGCTGCTGCTGCTGCTTCCCCCCACCTGTGCATGGCATCGTTTCGATTCCAGTTTGATTTCGTGGTACTATGCTTCTGTCGATGCGCGTCTCTTGAGCATTGTGGAGCCTGCCGGCCTGCCTCCTCAAGGTGCAACATGTAGGAGGCAGGAGACGCACTCAAAGATCTCTCTCTGCCCACACACTAACGCACTCACACGCGCACGTGTGCTTGAGAGACAACTCCACCTGTCCCTGTCGTTGTCTCTACCTCATGGCAATGTCGTCCCTGCCACCACTTTCCACCTTTTTGGTTTTTTATTTTATTTTTGCTGTTTCTGGAGGAGCAGAGCATTTGTCGCCATTTATTTACACGATTAGAAATCGATTTTATGCGATTCCCATATAATATTCAATGTGAAATGACAAACGTAATACACAAGAACAAAAAGTACACACATGTGCCCTCCTGTGTCGCCAGAACGACAGAAAGAGAGAGAGAGAGAGCAAAAAGCAGAAAGAGGAACAGAGTACATGGTGTATGGAGTGTATGTATGCACACATGTGTATATGTGCTCTCCTCTCATATGGATGTGCCGTTATAATGATTTATGTTAAGCTTATTGGCAGGCCACCCACCCATACAAACACACAAACACTCAATGTTGATGGGAGTGTGAGTGCATGTGTGCACGAAAGAGGAGTGAGCGGGGGAGAGAATGAAAGAGAGAGAGAGAGAAAAGGGCTCAATCGAAATCGATTTGTGGGCAGGCAACAGAAACAGCAATTGCGGCGGCAATGGCAGCGACATCTATCGTCGTCCCCCAACTTCAAGCGACCTTTGCTCTGCTGCCTACACTAAGCGAAATGCGAGTTAATGCACTGCTTGTCAGAGCAAAAAGCGACATACCGATAATTAACTGTATAAACTCGAATCAGTGAATTGCTTTGAGGAATGTAGTTAGCACTGAGCTTTGCATATTCTATGCACGGTTTTCTATCAAAATGGGATGTCATACAGACAGAGAAAAACCATGGGAACAGACTAACTTATCCATCGTCTTTGAATTGAATATCTACTGATTATTAGAGGGAAGACGGCAATCATTATTCCACCTGTCCCGCACAGCCACCAATATTCATTAATCAACCCCAAAGACGAAATGGTGGTTAATTAGACCTGGACTGGCGCTCAGGTTAACTCTCGGATATTTGCCTTGATTACGACGACTTTGATCGAATCCGTAATCGAACGGCTCTCAAGCTCAAAAGCGCTTCACCCACACATACACACACTCACGCAGCACTCACACACTTAAAAGGCAATTGATTAACAACTAAAAGTTCAAAAGGCAGCAATTAACATTTCAGAGAAAAACAAACGCAATGGCAAGGGATGGTGCGGTGCGGTACGGTGCGGCAAGGGGTAAAAATATGCTTCGTCACTTTACAACGAAGTAGACGAGGTGAGGTGCAAAAGAAACGTTGAAAAGAAACGAGCGGGGGAGAGGAGAGCGCAAAGTATAAAACAAAATCCCAAAACTCAATCCACTTGCCTTCCTTTTTCTGCTTCTTTTTGTGTGTGTGGCTGTGCATCAGTGTGAGTCCACGACTCTAGTACAAAACTAGCCACCCCACCTTTGGCTTCCCCCCACTCCGTCCAACAGCAAACACAATTTATACACACAACTCCGTCCCGCCCCGCCCCCAACAAATGGGCAAAGCCATTCGTGCGCAAATCTCAAATAAAAGCGCGCAGAACGCGACGTCGCTGCCTTTGGCCTCTGCCTCTGCTTCCGCCGACAGAGGAGCTCTTCTGCTGATGAATTGTATTTGCACGAGGCCCAACAAACACACATACACTCATGCGGACAGGGGAAGAGCAAAAAAAAGAAGGAAAATACAATATAAGCAGAAAACAAAAAATTAAAGCAAAGGCAAAAACCCGAATCAGTCCCAAACTGACTCCTCTCTCCATTCCAGTGTCTTTGCTTGGCTCTGCCGCTACATTTGCAGTTGTATTTGTGTGTGTTTGCCTGTGTCGTGTGCCACTGTCAACCGCCGCTGCCGCGTCGAAGTCAAAGCCCGTAAAAAGAAATACAACTACAAGAAGCAGCGCAGCCTGCAGCAGCAGCTTGGTGAACTCTGGTTATGCTTCTTCTACTACTCATTTTATTGTTGTACCCATGCAGAGGGTATATTTATGTAGGTGGTTATTTCGACTCTAGTCGATACATCTGTCATAGAAACACAGCTCCTGGAAGATTACTATTTTTTAGGGTATCAAACTGTGGAATAGCAAACTGGAGCTAGCATTCATTTCTTCTAAGAAGTAACTGTTTTGTGATTGCTGTGAGGTGCTTGGCTGGAAGTCTCACATACGCGTCTCGATGATGATATGAAATCCCCTGACAATATTCGTTTTCCAGAACTTCAATCGTAATTTGATTCTGTTTTGTGTGTTTGCTCAAATCCCCCTCCGCCATGTCACTGTCACCCTCCTGCATCCAAACCAAAACCAGTCTACGCCACTGTCCCTTTCTGATTCGTATCTTTTGCCGGTTCATGCACACACTCACACACCCATACACACACACACGCACGCATTGAAACACTCAGAATTCGATCCACAATTTTAAGCTCAAGTTCAATTCTCTGGTAAGAAAAAAAAAGCATACCTGTGTCCAGTTTAGGTTTAGTCCGCTTCTTCTCCTCCTTCTCAGCGACGCGACGCTTATCGTTGATTGACTTTTGCCTGCCGCCGCCCAATCATTTATCACACACACACAGAAACACAGAAAATACTCAACTCTTCTTTTTTGAAATTTTTGTTTGATTTTTACTTGTGTGCAAATATTACATTCCAATTTTTTCCCGTTTTGCACACCCACAGACACAGAGGCGGTCGCACAAACGAACACACACACGCGTCAACGAGGGGAAGCAATTTTCGCCGCAGGCGGTTTTCTTTTTCTTCTTTGCTCTTCACTTTGCCGTTTTCTTGGCGATTTTCACACGCTCGCCGAAAAATGTCACTGTTCCACCCGCACACGCGCAAATTTCACGTTGTTTCTTCAATCTGCTTAAAATCTTTCTCTAAAAAAAACTACCAATCGCGCGCGAATCGGAATTCAAAGTTAAGTGGTAGATCTCCGACTAACTGTTAAGTAGTCCCGATTTAGTTTAGTCTTCCCTACTAACGATGCTTTCAAACCGGCTTTTTTTAAGTTCCCGGCTCTGGCAATCAAATTAAAGCCTTAGCAACAATTCAATTGAATTTTTATGAATTTTATGAGTCAAACACAAAAGAATTTCATTTAGTTTGGGGACACGGAAGCCCCACACTGTCTCATTCTTTCAAACACTCGCGCGCTCAAGCATCACAGAACTGTCCACTTTCCATATGTTTGGAAATCACTTTAACGCTATCTGCACTTACTGCACCGCATTTTATTATTTATTTAACCATTTTTTGGCGTACTCGACGAAGAAAACAGAAAAACGGGACTTGCGGGCGACAACAAATAAATTCTGTGTGACCGTGGTTCATCGATAAAATATGCACGTCCGATACTCCATAGTACTCCTAAATATACCTTGTCATTTTAAAAATATACCATTAATATACACTATTTCAATATCATATTAGTAGATTTTCAATGTTCTATTTGATATTACTAGCTGTTTTGGAGTCTCAGCGCTAAAACTATAATTTTATACGATTTATCATTGGCTTTTAAACGGGCAGAACTGTTTCGCTAATGTATTTCTTTTGAAATTTCACCTTGTCTTTGTCATTTCCATAACTTCCATAATATACCGCATGACCCTCAAGCTATACTAAAACATACCTTCAATTATTGGCTAGTTTTCAAATCTAAAAATATCTTTCATTTGCTAAATATCTACTAAAACTAAAACGTGGTTAGAGTGTACGGATGAAAATCCCGATGTTGCAAGGACCTACCTTTCCGACATAGCCCCTGCGCACTCATTTTTGCGTTGCATGTAAGGACTCTCGGAATAACTATCGATAATTGGAACGACCTGGCGCTAACATCCTTTCATTTAAAAAAAAGCATATAATCTTTTAACAAAACTTTATACTTGATATATTTATAATGTAAAACTATTCCTCAAAGGTCTAGAAATTAAATGTCAACGGATGCACGGCAAAGTAGCCTTTGCTCTTGGTCAGCTGATTGGAGAGCCGCACCAGATTGTTGTCGTTGTTCACGAAATTTCCGCCAAAGATTTCCGTGCAGAGGGTCAGGACCGTGTCCCGACCCTGCGAGCAGACGGCGCTGGCCGTGAGCAGCTCGTGGTCAGCGAGGGGCAGGCCGATGCAGTAGGAGCGCGAGGCACGCGCCACACTGGCCCACATCGCGTAAATGGTCGTTGAGATCTCGGCCAGGCGTTGCATCTCACTCTGTCGCTCCACCACCGCGTTGCCGTGACGGGTGAACATCAGCTCGACGGACATCTGGAGGCGGGCCACCGACTGCTCAATGCACTGAGCCGCCGCCTCCAGCGTGGGATGCACATGCTCGGACAAATGCATTTTGGTCTTTGGATTCTCAATGCCCGACGTCTCCAGGAACTTGCCAAAGATGTGGCCGGGATGGAAGAGCGGATTCCTGCTCTTGCGCACACCCGAATTCATCGCTTGCTGTGGGTGAAACCTGGTGTAAATCTTCAATTTGGAAGTGCAGATCCTTGCGTGGTCTTACCCCTGCGTGCTGCAGTCCTGTGAGGGCAATGAACATGCTCAACGTGTCGATGGATTCCCCTTGCGTGTACAGCTGGGCGGCATCCCGTAGGCCCAGCTCTGTGGCCTGGCCGCTGTGCAGGCTCTTGGGTCCCACAACGCCCAGATTTTGGGAGGCAATTGCGTACAGCTGCTTGAGGGTGTAGTACTTGGTTATGGCACTCTCCAGCGTCACGTCCTGGCCCTGGAACTCGTCCAGCAGTCCGGCAGTGAGGTACAACATGCTCTCCATGGCATACACCGAGCACATGGCACGCGACAGATGCACGCGCGTCAGCTCCAGGTCTCTGCAGAGGAGGAAACATTAGGAAGAGTCTTTTAAATTCTTTCTTCCACACTCTCACTTGATGTGCACGCCGCACTGGGTGGTGTCCACGCTGTATTGGGTCAGTTCGCTGAGCAGCCGCTTGGCCAGGGAGACCCCTACGAGGCTGCTGCGCAAACGCGAGGCACGCACCAGCTGCTCCGAGTAGCGATTGCCGTCGTGCGGCAGTCCCACCACCTGCTCCTCGCTCAGCTGCACGTTGTCGAAGTGAACACGCCGCATCTGAGCCTCGCGGCAGCCAAAGGTCGCATGCTGCTCGCCCAGCCGTACGCCCGCCTGCTGGGAGTCCACCAGAAAGATGGTGGTGGCACGGCCCAAGGAGCCGCTCACATTGGGCTGCTGTGTCTGGGCCAGCACCAGGAAGAGTTGCCGCTCCCCAGGCGCACACACCACGTAGGCCTTCTCGCCGTTTAGCACCCACGACCTGGACTCGGGCGTGAATGTTGCCTGCGTGCTGAAGTAGTCGTCCTCGGGCGGCGTGTACTCATAGATGGCCTCGGTGGCTATCAGTTGTCCAGTGCCCAGCGCCAGCAGATATCGCTGCTGCTGCTGTGGCGTGCCCACCTCCCGCAGCAGGTCCACGACCACGCGATGTGCCTGCAGTCCCAGGCCCACGCTGGTGGCCGTCGAGTCCGGCTCGCTGGCCATCAAACTGGCGCTCCAGCCATAGCCTCTGCCATCGTAGTCGGTGGGCACATTCAAGCCGTAGAGTCCGAGCTGCTTGAGATTCTGTGCGGTCTCCTCCGTCCCTTTGGGCTCGCTGAAATAATTCCTGAGCGGCAGCAGTGCGTTCTGCAGCTGGGCCATGTCCTCGCGGGCTATAACCTCCGGATAGGCCAGCAGTTCCTTGTCCACAGCGCCAACGAAGAAGTTCTTCACCAGCGGCTCACGTGCGGGCAGCTGTTGTTGCGGTTGTTCCGCTGCCTCGTCCACGCCGCCCGGCTTTTCGCTGCCACCATCCTGCTGCCGTGGATCGAGGCTGCTTGTTGTTGTAGCCTTGCTGCCCTTGCCGCGTATCAGTAGGTTGCCTCCTCTATTGTATTTTAGCAGTCTCGCGACACCAGAAAACACCTGGGAGCGAATCATATTTTTATTTTTTTTGTTATTTAATCATGCAGTGGGACCGAGAGTTATCGATACAATTTATCGTCAGACCCTAACAAATATACCAAAATATACCATCTCATTTTACAAATATACCGCAATATACCGTAGTCTTAAATAATATTCCTCGATATTGATGTTCTATTTGATATTACTAGCATGCAAAGAGTTTTAACACTGAAACAACAATTTAATCCAATTGAAGAATCATTTTGGCTTATTATAAATACTCCTTTTTATTGGATTATATACCTTATAACCTTATATTTTACAAATTTGTATTTGAATTTTTCATTTGATGGTCAGGGAAATCCTCTCCTGTGTCTAAACGGTCAGGGAAATCCTCTCCTGTGTCTAAACGGACAGTGTGTGACCGCAGAATTATATACGGACAGACCCTCGGAAATATAACTTTACATTTTCAAAATATACGGTATTATAGCGTAATCTTAAATAATTTTCCTCGACTTTGATGTTCTATTTAATATTACCAGCTATTTAGGAGTCTCCGCGGTAAAACTATAATTTTATCCGATTAATGAATCTATTCTTTGCAAGATGGGTTAGTTTTCATGACTTCCTTTTGTCGCAGTGTTTACAAATTAAGTTTAAAACTGAACTGGAAAACACCATTTAGAAAACAAAACAAAGTACTTTTAGGCTGTTTTGCTGAACCAGCGATGCCCATGCATACAAAATGATTTAAACGGCATCGATAGCTAGAAGCTGACAGCTATGAAACCACTGCTCCCTGGTTTTTAATTCAAATTCAAAATTTGAAACAACGCTAATAAAATTGCTTTTTTGATTGTATATATTGATGTTATTGTTACACATACATATATAATTGCTATTGACAGCGCACATTAAGCTCTCTACGAAACAAAATATATGGGCTCTTCCAATTTGATATCGAACGTCATTGACTTTGTTTGCTCTTTATTGTTTCTTTTGTTAGTACTCGCATGTGTATAGTTTAATTGCACAAATCATACCATCTACATCGTTAATAGCTGTAAGTTAAGTAAAGTTGTTTTTTTCGGTTGGTTTTTATACGTAGTTATAGTCAGGTATCAATGGAAACTAAGAATTTTTCGTCAAGACCTTTCAAACACATTAAATTATGTACGCTTGGTGTGTGTGGGTCTGCATATCGTAGTACCACACTATCTATATAATATATATATAGTTTTTGTTTGTTTATTATTGAAGTATACAGTGTGGAAAACAAAAACAGTGAATACTAATTCAAAAGGGGTAGACACACACACAAGTGTATTATTTATTGTGTTGTATTGTTGCAATTGTATTTAACTAAAGACAAACCCTATTAGAAATATGCTCACCGCTCGCTCATGCAGCTCATATCGTATCACAGGCACGCTTAATAGAACGGAAACACAAAAAAGAAACATAAAACTCAAACAAACTTGCACGCAAAGTAAAACATTTCGAATTTGGATGATTGCTGAATGATCCTCAAGGCAATTTTGATAAAAAAAACAAATAGAAAACACACGCTACACACTAACAACAACGATCGATATGAGCGCATACAAATACCATCCATTCTCCATTTATCCATCCATCAATTCAATGCACTAAATTCTACTCATTAAATTGCATTTAAAATTGTATAAGTGGCACCCCACGAGAGGGCACCCTCTAGTATTGCTAGTTTGTCGCTTGACCCCGTCCCAAATCCATTTCCCCCGTTGCTTTTATCTGGCGTTCTTTCAATTGCTTTTCAGTTTAAATATTTCAACTTGTTTTAACATTTTTACATTGCAATGTTTGCTTCACACATTTGTTGTTTTCAATTAATTCCAAAAACTAAACCACAAAAGGGCACCGCGCACTAAAAGTGGGGGAGTGAAAATTTGAAAAAAAGGAAGAAAAAATTAATTAAATTAATTTACGTAGTTTAAAGAATAACTAATAAAGCATAGGAATTTCTTTCGATTCCTGTTCTCTGCTAGCCAGCCAGCCAGCCCACTCCCTCCCACTACAATTGATATTTTGGATACTGCTGAAAGCGGTGCCAGAGCTGGGCATGAAGCTGCAGGCACAGGCGGCGTATTAGTTGGTATGTGCCGCCCAAGGCCTTTAGTAACTACTAAATCTTGCCGGCGCTTTCCTGCCGCGCACTGTAGCGCGGCTCAGTGGGCGTCAGTGTGTCGGTTACAAGCTCATTGGGTGCCTCCAGCACGCCCTTGGCGTGGGCAGCAGCCGTGTCGCAATCGGTGCGCCGTGAGATCAATAAACGGATGTCCGTGTGCAGCGAGAGGCGTCCGGAGCGGGATGTCTGGAACCTGCATTAAAAATGTAAAGTTTAATCTAGAGAATTATTGTTAATGCAGCAAGTTCCCCCTCTCGTACCTCAAGTGTATGGAGTAGCGCAGCCGCTTCATCTGCTCGGCTGTGATGAAGTGACCCAATTTGCTGGTGGTGATGCTCGTGCTGCTGCCCGTGGGACTGCGTGGTATCGGTGGTTGCTGCTGTTGCACCTGCTCCTTTTCATGTGTCGTCTGCTGGCCATTGCAAGCGGGCTCCTCGGCCAGTATGCGCTGCCGTATGAAGGTGCGATGCAGCGGTGGCATGTCCCGCATATCGTAGGGTATCACAAACATTCGCACCACAGTGCCCATGGGATTCAGGAGTGTGGCCTGCACCGTGCCCGTTCTGGGCACCGAATAACCCTTGCGTGGCAAGCGAATCTCGCACTGAAAAAAGCGTAAAAGTGAGTTCCTGCTGCCAGTGGGGATTTCCCGTTGAATCACTCACCAGGTAGGGCGTGCTCAGGGTCTCGCCGTGCAGCTCGTAGAAGTAGGACACAGCCGGGATGGTCAATTGTGTGGGGCAGAAGCCACCGGAGGCGCCCAGCTGCAGCTTGAATCCCATCACCTCGATCTTGGGCATCAGCCGCTTCTGCAGCAGCGACTCCTCCAGGTTGCCCAGCAGCGGGCGGCCCGCAAACTGCGTGGCCAGGCGCGCCAGACTCTTGAGCGGGGAGCCCGCGGGGCTGCACATGCCCGACTCTAGATCCTCGTCGGACAACTGCTCGTCGGAGCCCAGCGAGCTGCGATCCGAGCGATCGCTCAGGTGGCGGGAGCGTCGCTTGTAGAAGGCCGCCGCCTGCTTGGCAAATCTCGGCGACACCGACAACGAGGCATTGGGCAGCGTGGGAGCTGAGAAGGATTTTTGCACCGTCAAACTGCCCGCCTCTGGGGTGATTAGCTGCGAGTGGGCGTGGCTCAGGGCGGCCAGATCGAAGGAGAAGGCTGGACTGCTCTGGCCACTGCCACATCCTGCACTGCCTCTGCTCCCACAGCCAATGGTTATGGGAGCCGAGCTGCAGAAGATCGTCGTCAGATTCACCTTGGGCAGCGGCTTGCGCATCAGCGGCGAGCATGTCGGTGGCGGTGTCTCGTTGTCCGCCGCCAAACCGCTGCAGTTGAGACGCAGCTGGCTGGGCTTTGGCAACGGACGACCCAGCGACGTGTTGCTCGACTGCGGCGTGAGTGGCAGATGACTGATGGGCGTCTTGAACTGCACCACAATGTGATCAGCCACGGCTGGCGGTGGTGGAGTCTTGCAGCGCTCAATCTGCGGAATCGGCAATAAATCAGTCGCTGGCATCACGCTTAAAGCAAGGCTTTGGCTTACCTGTGCCTCCCGCTCTGTCTCTCGGTCTGACTCCTGCTCCGGTTCCTGCTCCATGCGGGTGTAGCCATTGCTGCAGCCTCGTCCATTGGCAAAGTTATGCTGCGTCTTCTGCCGCTTGCACACCTGACACCCGCTGACCGCCGGCACTGCCTTGGGCTGATTGTTATTCTGCCCTCTGTTGAGATCATGGTGTGGCTTTCTGCTTCGATTCTTTGGCGTGCGCTGTATGGCCTGCAGGAGCAGCTCGGCCTTGTTCCGCGGCGTGCCCACAATGAGATCACCGCTGCTCAGGCTGCAGCTGGATGTGTCCTCGATCTCCGAGGCCGTTGTATCGTCATCGTTCTCATCTCTATCCACCCCCTCTCCGGCTGTGCAGTTCAGGCAGAGCAGCGTCTTCTCGCTGCCACACTGCTGGCAGCTGCTCAGCGAGGTCTGCGTGCCCGTCGATATCATGGCAATGCGACGTGGCTGTGGCTGCGTCAGTGTCATCACAATGGCCTGCTGCTGCTGCGACTGGGACTGGGACTGCGATTGGGACTGGGAGGTGGACTGTGTCATCTCCTCACCCTCCTCCATGGGCTCCTCCAGCTGCAGCCGCTCTGTCGTTGATTTCAGTTCCCGTTTCTTGTCACGTCGCTGCATTCGCTTGCGATACTTTTGCAGCTGCCGCTCCCTGTGGGTCACGCTGCCAAACTCTCCCGATATGTCCAGCTCATCGCCCGATGGCGGCGGCACCACCTGCTGTTGCTGCTGCCGCTGCTTGCCATTATTATCACAGTTGGAGCCGGTTGTCAGCGTCGGAGTTGGCGTGGTTGCAGCGGTGCGTGCCCCCAGGCCGGTGGGTGAGGCTGCATGCAAGCCACCACCACCTGTGGGAGTGCTGGCTGGCTGCGTTGGCGGTCGCAGAGATCGCGTGGGTGGTGTTGGCAGTGGCTGTGGCAGTGTCGGAGGCGGTGGCTCTATGTGCGGCAGGCCACCATTGATCCGTGGCAGACTCCTCACGCAGACGGACACGCTGAAGCTCTCCGAGATGTTCACATGGGGAAAGTTGTGCACCGAAGCCTTGGCACTGAAGCCGCTGCTCTCGTCCAAGTACTGGCTGCCACAGCCATTGCTTGCCGCTGGATTATGCTGCCGAATTCTGTAGAAGATGTTGAGGCGGGGCCGACGCGAAGCATGGGAGCCACTGCCACTGCCAGCCAGATCTCCAGCGCTTTGGCTGGCAAAGACAACGCGTCCGCTGTCATAGACAGAGGGATCGCACTTGCGCAGCAGATCGCACCAGGCCACAATCTGCGAGAAGTACAGCTGACTGCGTATGGCACTGCACAGCGAGGGCAGAGTCATCGTGGGAGGCGGCACTCTAAAGGGTGAAGAGAGTGAGATTAATGGAGCTTTACAGGAGAGATGTTTTTTGTGCTTACTTCTCCTTGCCGCTGATGATCCACTGTTCCAGCAGCAGCTTGTGGCTGACTGGACCCAGGTATACCTCAATGCAAACGGGATCACGGCGTGCCAGAATGGCCTCCATCTTCATGCAATGCGCACGCCAACGATTACACTGAGAAGGGGAGGCAGTTAATCAATGAGGGAATCTCTCGAGGATGGGTTTATGCGTTTACTCACGGTCATATTTAGGTAAGACATATCACAGATGTGCTCCTCAGCTTCGGTTGTCGCCTCGCCCTTGGCCAGACCCATCTTTCTGAGGAACTGATCACAGTGTGGCCCATGCTTGGGCCTTGTATTGGTGTTGTTGGTGTTATTGGTGGTTGTGGTGGTGGAGCTGCTCGCTCCGCTATTGGCAGTGGCAGTGGCAGTGTTGGTATTGACGTTGCTATTATTGCACCCTGCTCCTGCTCCAGCTCCAGCTCCTGCTGCTGTCCAACCAAAGTTTAGACTCAGATTACGCGTCTCTGAGGGCGAGGGCTGGCCAATGGGCATGGCTGGGCCGCCTCTCAGGCAGGTGGTGGCCAAAGACTGCAGCGAGTGCAGTATATTGTCCGAGGAGTTGGAGCCCAAAGAGCTGGCAGCACTGGAATTGTTTGTGCCAGTTCCACCACCCATACCCATACCCACACCCAGACCACCTCCTACTCCTCCTCCTCCTCCTCCTACATTGCCCATGCCCATGCCCATGCCCATTCCTCCAGCTCGATTCAGCATCACTCGACGGACTATTTCGTAGTCGCCGCCATGATCCGTGTTGAGATCATTGATGGCCAGCGACACCAGCTCTGGCTCGGCACTCATGCTCTGCGCTGCCGGCGATATCTGCCGCAATTGGCAGAGCTTCTGTGTCCAACGCTGATGCGTTGTCGTCATGCTGCTCGGTCCACCTGCCGATCCATTGCCATTGGGGGAGCGTGGCGTGGTTGTGGCGCCTGCGTATGGATTCGTTGTTATGTTAATGGCCGCCCGGGAAGTGGAGGGTCGCGGCGACAGGCGACCCCCACTGACTGGCGGTGCACCTGCGGCAGTGCCTGTCATCGTCAGCGGCTGATACTCATCGTCCGCAATGGGTCTGCCCTCGAGTATCAGCGATGCCAGTCCGAGCACAATGGAGCTGTAGTTGTTCTGTGCCGCCGTCGCTGCCGACGCTGCTGCTGCAGTTGATGACGCAGACTGTGTGACTCCTCCTCCTCCTGCTCCACCTCCTCCTCCGACGCCTGCCGCTGAGCCCAGTGAGGAAGCAACAGCTCCGTTCTGGGCCAAGCTAGCGGGTGGCGGTGAATTGGTGACGCTGGTGGGTATCATGGTCGGGATGTCCTTCTAGATGTCCTTTGCTGCGCTGCTCCTGCTGCCTCAGCCTCAGCTACACACTCGCCTGCTGCTGCTGCTGCCTACTGCGCTTGAGTTTTTCTTGCACCGGAAGTACACTGCAAGAAAAAATAGAAAGGGAAAGTCAAATAAAAAATATAATTTAAATGAATTTGTATATTTTCATGGTTTCCTATGGTAATTTCAGCCCCGCAGCCCTGCCCCCACGCCACCCACTCTGAATGTCAAATGTCACAATGCGAATGGGGTCACAACAGTCGGAGGCAGCGCCATGGATGAGGAAAAAAAAACCCAATTGAATTATGTTTTTGAAGGTCTCCGTTTCCCCCACCCCCAACCACAACCCACTTTTACCCTTGCTCTTGGTCCGTATGTATTACATAAGGCTGACATGGTTTACTTTTTATCCCTAAGATGCGGAAGTAACGCACAAACGACCAGAAGAATGGCCCAGCCAGGCAGCCTTCGATTCTGATGTCTGTTACTGCCACTGGCCGACCCGACCCGACACACTGACACAGCCCCAATTTGCCCTAAAAACGAAATATAATTGAAAAATGGTAAAACCAGGTCGTTACTTAACCAAAAGCACAGCTATGTGTGTGTGTGTGTGTAACACATGTCGTTCATCTGGCAATGCATAATTCTTCTCCTTTTGGCACGCGCACTTCATCCCACTCAAGCGCTAGAGCCAACATGTTGCTAACGCTGTGACGTCAGTGGCCAGCCAAGCCAAGCCAAGCCAAGCTTTGCAGCAGCACCAAAATAGTGCATACATAGAGGCACATTCGTTGAAGGTCGCTGCAAAATACTCTATGTAAGGGAAGTGCACAACTTTTATGTGTTTGCAACAGCAGTCCAAGGCTGTCCCGAGTAAAAGCGCATGTAAAGAGAAGCAGAGCTTCGTCTAGTCTGCCTTCTCTCTTCTATTCTGACGCAATTCTGGGTGCTGCTTAAACCGCGCTTGGCAACAGCAGCAGCAGCAACGACATGCACATACATGCAACAAAAAATACAAAACAAAAAAAGTTTGTATACACAAAACAGCTGTTGCAGGCAGACACGCGCGCGCAACAACACTCTGGCAGCATGTTGCGAGAGCGCGTAGCCTCGCTCTCTCTCTCTCTCTCTCTACCTGTGTGTATATGTGTGGTTGGGTAAACATGTTTGTCTTTACTTTTGCTTTTGTTTTTGCGTTTCTTCTTGACCTGCATGCACAATATATAACTGGCACGCGAAAGAGAGCGAGTCCACGAGAGAGGAGAGGTGGACTCAAAGCTCTCTTGTGCTGTGTTCGTGTGAGAGTGTGTGTGTGTGTGTTAGAAAACATATGATTTTTGTATTGCTTTGCAATCAGTTGGCAATGTTTGCCTCAGCCCCATGAATGTGAGCGTGTTAAGTTGATACGGATATGCATGCGCATGTGTGTGTTTCAAGTTTTGTTTATGATACATCCATGGCTACATCTACATACATACAAATACACTTGGCCCACAATAGACAACATTCACACACACACAAAGGCAAGAAAACTTGTATGAAAATGGGGGCAAGCGAACGGAACGGAAAGGAACGGTAGAATGCGGACAGAGTTTAATAATATTTGATTAGATTACAGTCTGCCACGCTTTTATTTCTACACATGCATACATAATACTAATATTCGTAGTGTGTAGCATATGTACGTATTTCATTTCATCTGCCCATTATCATATACATTTCATCACTTCTCTCTGCTATGTACTGGAATACATACTACATATATATGTACAGATGTACAAATGTACATATTACAGCGTAAATGGGAAAATGATTTTTCGAAAACTTCGTCAAGCGCCTCGTCGCCTGTGACGCAGTGGAAATCCGCAACAAGGGAACCGATTGGAACGTTTAAAGTGTTGGCAGCAGCAGTGTGAAAAATTTATTCGATGGCAGTGCTTTTAGGGGGTTTCTTTTGGCAAGCCCCTCGGAAGGGAAGACACAAAATGTCATTAGCCACGGCGCATTACGATATTAGCCACAACTTTCGCTAACAGATATTTTCGCTCATTTTCACTTGAGGGGCGACTGCTGATGCTGATAACGGGGTTCCGTGGCAGATATTCCCCACTCTGCCAGCCAAATATGCAATGAGCAATAACATCCACAAGGGCAGATCAAAATCAAATAAACATTGTCACATTGTTCACCCCAATAATCCATCCCAGCGCTTTCCCCCCTCTGCGCTGATTGGTTGCAGTTCTTGGCACACCGATCGAGCCAGCCACACGCTGCCACAGTCCGACAGGTGGCGGGAGGGGCAGGGTGGAAAATCTGCTTACCGGGGAGAGGGGGAGCGCAGCGCATTGTTGAACTAATTTCATTTGGCTTGGCCACCGTCCTTGGCATGCTTTTTGATTTTGCAATACGGTTTGCGTTTTGCATTGGTCTTGGTTAATTTATTTATTTATTGCACATTTTCCCCTCTCTCTCTGTCTCTTTGTATCTCCGTCTCTCTGCTTGCCTCTAGGTATGTATTTTTTGACGCACATTACAGCATTGCATTTGGATTGCCAGGCGGAAAATGGAAACGGGGCGAAGGCGACCCGACCCGTCCCGTGCCTTGCCTTGCCCTGTGCGCCCCAAGCGAGCGCCAAGTGAAAGGCAGGCGGCACCAGGCGCTAGAGGGCGCCTAACGTCAGCCCCACAGGAAAACCCGTTCAAAGAAAATGACAGCAACAACAACAAAAGCGAATGGAAACACAAAAATATGTTGCAACTGCTTGAAAACAAGTTCCGTCCTCTGTCCCTCCGTCTTTGTACACCTTTCGTTTGTGTTGTGCTTCCTTTTCTTTGTTTTTCTTATGTGAATTATGAAATTGCCCCAAAAGTTGGACTTTATATTGCTGCAGAACGAAATCCCAGGCCACATTTATAGTCATTCTCGTTTCATATTCGCTTTCCTTGAGTCATCCAGCTAAACGCGTCATGACAAAAGCTTTATTGCATTCATTAATTATCCTCTCTTACCCCACATTCCCTCCACTCTCAACCCTCATTAAATGTGTCATCTAAGGCGGAAGTGGTGGAGTTGGCGTGGTTTCTGCGGGTTCCACAATGTGATACACGACAGCACATCCACTTTGGAAACAGCTGGTTGGGAGGATGATCATTCCGAGACTTTATGTGGCGCTAATTGACCTCGGAGCCGACCTTACAAAAACGCATTATTCTAGTTGTTCGTTTGCGTGTGTGTTCTGTTCAGCTCAACACTGTCCCATTGGCTTCACAGCTGAGCGAGCGTCGGTCGTCGAGGGGGCTGCACGTTCGATGGGTTACATGGTCACACAGCCCGCCTGCCTCCCCCTCCATCAATATCTATCTCTCTCTTTGTCTCTCTCTCTCCAGCTGTCTGTACATAGAACGAACATACGTACATACATCATACATTTATATGTGTATGTGCATGTACATTGTAGGGGATTTTATCGACAATCTGGACACGGACAAGTGAGAGGGCCATGAGATAAGAGGCATTTGAGCAAAACAGTTGAAAGTTGTAATAATCATTCAAGGTTTTCGACGACTTTACACTAGGATTCCCCAACACTCACCCTTTTAAAACTTTGTTAAATTTCCATTATTTTTGCTGTTTGCTGCAACGAGAGAAGAAGAGAGAGAGAAAGGGGGTGTTAAGGAGACGAACAAACGATTATAAAAGAAAATACTTCAAGATTAATTACAACAAATAGCAGCGTAAATCAAATAATTGAGCAACATTGCTACGTATATTGTGAGCTAAAGCGTAATTAAACCCATTACACTGAGCGGGATAGGGATAGTGATAGAGAAAGAGAAAGACAAAGACACCCTGTTTCTTACACAACAAATAAAGTTAAACGGCATCATTCGAGCCAGCTCTCGCTCAATCATTCACACACACACAAGCATCTGTTCAAGGTATATTAACATGAAGGTGAACCGTACACATACTCAAGCAAGTTTGGCTACAGATGCTCCTTTGTACTGATCCACCTTGCTATTAATATACCTTGGCACTGCTTACATGTGCGCAGAAAAAACAAAAATTGTAAACAAACGCAGTCCAGTTATGGGGCTCTGCTCTGCGCTCTTCTTCCGCTGTCCCACGTGTGAGAGTGTGTGGTGTGTGAGAGCCTCTGTAACGTGAGCACGTGAACCGTCTCGCTCCCACTGCTGGAACGTATGCGTGTGTGTGAGAGAGTTGAAGTAACCAGCAGCTAGACGGGGAGGGTGGGTGGAGGGATTGAGGGGGCCAGACAGGACTTGCAAAAGAATTGCGAGTGAGTGTGAGTGAGAAAAAGTCGAAGACACCGATGGCACGTTTTATTTTTAGCCAAAATGTTATACCCGTCCTGCAAATCGGGAGCACCGAACGAACGGACGGACAGTCACGCACACGCACTTACACAGCCACACGTATTCGTTCGTTCTTCGCTGTCACAGCAGAAGGCAAAAGCAAATGACCGCAAGAAGTGCCAATGCTCGCTCTCTCTCACTCCTCTCCCCAACTTCCCCTCCTTAGTTACAGAGTGGGACAACTTCATTCTGTGCTCCACTCAGTCAACCCCAAGCCCCTGGGCACCCTCACTATATTCTGCTCTGCTCTCTCTCCGTTTTGCCCGCTCACTTCATTTACATTTCCAACTGCGCACGTATAAAATTATATTGCGACTGTTGGACTGCCCGCGAATGTAATTTTACGTGTGTCCGTGTGTGTGTGTGTGTGTTTATTAATTCCTTCATCTACTCACAAAAATTAATATAAATTGCTCCATCCAAACGGGGATAAGGTGGCATAACTTCCCAATCTCTTGACCAAAAAGCAACTGTTGCTTCATTTTTCTTTTTTATCTTGAATGGTCTTTTTGTTAAACAGCTTTCTCTTATATAAAGCAGATAAATAGATAGTGAAAGTGGACGTTCTATGGCCAAAATATTCTACATCAATCACATTAAATTGACCTTAAAAAGGGAAGCTTTTCATCTCTCTTACGTGCTTGCTCTCTCTTTTGTTCTTAATCCACAACACATGTGTGTGTGTGTGTGTGTTTCTCTCAGTCTCTTTCGTTGTAAGATCTTACACGTGGGTGGTTCTATATGTTGCGCAATTGTTCATAAAGCTAAATGATGTGATCTGGGGGCGCACCCATCCCCAGCCCCAGCCACAGCCCGACTACGATTGTGTATTGCATGGAAAATACCAGGTGTAAATGATTTAGCTAAATCTTCGAGCACGATTCTCCATTTTAAACAGCTGATTGCCTCAGTTCCGCTCTCCTCTCGCCTAAATAGTTATTAAGTGCCTCTCGTTCTGCCTGCATGGGGCACACGAATGTTGACACACAACGAATGCAACAACAAACAACTGACGCCACAATTCGAAAATGTGTGTCAATTATATTAACAGCAACAAAAAAGTAGTTTTCCCGACTTGACACACCACACACAGACACACAGTCACATCAAAACGTATACAAGAGAAACACTCGAAGAGTTTGAGGGAGTGGAAATGGAATTGAGCAGCAGTCAGCGATAGTGAGGTAGCAGGAGAATGAGAGGGAGCAATATTCCAATTGCCTTTTCAGTAATTTAGTGTTATACAACAACAACAGCAGCAGCTACAACAACGCTGAAGGGGGCGTCCAATAGTCTCCCAAAGTGTTTCACCCACACACACAGCCTAGTGCCTTAGCGATCTTCAATTATTATACTGTATTTGTCAGTGTGTACATATGTGTGGGTGGACGTGGACACGGGCAGAGCTTTGACTATTGCGATGTTTTTATTTGAGCATTACGTCACCAACACATGCGCAACTGCACAGCTGAGTGGGGAACGGAACGTATGTAGTATGTATGTATCAAGCAAACGTCACAGCAGTTACTCTCACCCACACACCAATGTATGGAGGTGGGGGATTATGTACATAAATGGGGGAACTTGGGCATATTCTAGGTACAAACCTTTTGCTAAACACTTTACTCCTTCAAATCACGTTTCTCCAAAACTTGTAAACCTTTTAGTGGGTTTTCTTGATTGGTTTCCCCTTTTTAACTGTTCAGCATAATTAACTATTCACTCGCTGCTGCCTTGGCTGATGCTGATGCTGCTTCTGCTGTTGTTGCGTCTGTGCTTTCAGGTGTTGTTTGCTCTTAGTTCTAAGCGGCGGACAACAGCAACAACTTTGACAGCGTCGACATATTGGGTGTTCACGAAGCTGCATTTGAATTCTCAACGGTTTTGCCTGGCGTTTTCAATGTGAAATTGAACTGAAGTCGCGTTTTGGTAGAGTACACTGCACGCACCGACACGGTACACACTCGCAGAAAAATAGTATAGGTGTGTTTGTGTATGGATCTGTGTCTGTTTTGTTCCCACACCACACTGATTTTGATTTTGCTCACTCGCACGAAACGGAGAATACGAATGCGAAACACAAGAGTCCAGCAATAGCAGCAGCAGGTAACAAATACCAACAGATTATTAACGAAACGAAACGAAACTTGTTTGCTTAGATTTCAATATTATTTTTGGTCTCTGGCTGCACTTTTTGGCTTGGCTCTCCACGAACAAACAAAAAAAAGAAACCTCAAGATTGCTACCTTGCCTCTGCCTCTCTCTCTGGCTGCCTGTGCTTGCTCTCTTGGCTCGTATAACTGTAGAGGGGCCCGCGTGTTTTCGCTTTGGGGTTCGCAATTTGAATGAGCGAACGGACTACGCGACAATGCTCCGCTCGCTGCTGACGGCAACTTTCTAAAACAGCTGAGTCGAGCCACACGCTCGCGTCGCGACGCGACGCCACTGCTGGCTTTGTTTTGCTTCTGGCTGCGTATGTGTGTGTGTGTGGCTGTGTGTGCCCGTGTGCTATGTGCTCAGTGGGTACATTATGTGTATCTCTCTATATGTATATACGTTTGTATGTACATATGTACGTGTGGCTATGTGTAGGGAAAACTACGTCGTACATTTAGCTAGTTTTTTTTGTTGGATTTCGTTTATTTTTTTTGGCTGGCCCTCATCCAACATCTGGCAAGCAACATGTTGCCAGTGTCACAGTTCAGTTGGAGTGCGCCAACATGTTGCAGTGCGCAGGGGAAAACGAACACAAAGAATGTACACAAAAATCATATGGAATTTCGAAGGCCCTAGGCTAGGAGAGCAAGAGAGGCAGAGGGAGAAGCACACACACACACAAACACAATAGACAGACAGACATGGCGACATTTGAGTGATAAGTGAAGTAAATAGGTAAAATGTACTATGCATATATAAATACATCCATATGAATTTATGCATGTCGATCGTAAATGGAGGGGCAGGCATCTCTAAGTGATAGCGATTCAATAACAAAAGGCAGTCACAGAGATACAGAAAAGTATTCATACATATACCCACAGCACACACAGCGAAACGAACCCGTTTCCATATGTTCGATGATGATATGAAGGTTGCTCCTCCTCAGCGTCTGCTGCTGATTGCTGCCACTACCACTACCTCCGCTACTGCTACATTGCTGGCATATAAAAGAGTCCGCTTGGGGTTTCTTTTTTTTGCTCGTTCGCTTTCTTGAGTACTTGTTGGGGGGCTGACAGACGGACGAACGGAGCGAAGTTCTTGGAGAGAAGTAAACAACAACAGCAACGGAGAAGAAATAAAAACCACAAAAAACGCATGCGCCCTCACTGCACTTAATACATAAACAAATGTGTACATGTACTACTTGTGCGCGTGTGTGTGTGCAAGTATAATCCAAAACCCCAAAGACAGTCAGCAGTTGGCCAGAGCCCAAAAGACGTCGCGACCCAGACAACAGCAACAGCATTCAGTTCACAGTTTATGTTTGCTTACGCTGCTCTCTCTCTTTCGCTCTGCGTGTTCTGCTCTCTGGACCTTGCAATCCACACACGATGTGACATCTTATCATCAGCACCCTCACACACACACAGACACAGCCTTAGGCAAACACAGAACACTATTGCTGATATGATTTTTGTATTTGATACGTCGTCACAGGTCTGCCAGTCTGCTGCTTTTTGCATTGTTACGGGTACGAGGGGGTATGTCTGGATGATGCATGTTAGGAATAAATCTACTCAAAGTGGACTTTTAGTGTTCTCTCTTTGATGAATATTGTGTTCAGTATTTGCTCCCTTTTGCTCTCTTTGCACATTTCCACAAGAACAAATCAATGCACACACAATCAGGGACAGAAACAGAACCAGACGAAGACGAAGACGCAGACACACATCCACATCCACCTACGGTGGAGTGCATATGAAATCGTCACTTGTCTGCGGAACGAACTTGAGTAACCCAAGCCGAAGGATACAACACGGCACGGGCACAGGCATGGCGTGGCGAAGCGTTTCTGGCGACAACAAAGACTTGTCCGCGCGCTGCAGACAAAGAAATGCCAAGACCGTCTGGCTCTGGTCTCTGTCTTGCTCTTGGCCAAACAGGAAAACAAGAAACTGCTGTTGACCCCTCCGCACACACCACTGGCAACTGGCACTGGCATGGATGCATCTTAAAAATGCAAAGTTGTGGGGGAATCGATTGAAATAGTGGGGGAAATCCTCATGGAATAAACAGATTAGTAGCTCAAATGTAATTTGCTTTCACTGCCATCAATCTATCAATCTCCCCATTTCCCAATCGATTATTTCCCAGGGTCTCCTCATATGGATCCTTATCTAGGGACTACTCCTAATGCATTTCAGGTCGTTGTTTCCTTCCCAAACCCAACCCAAGAATAGACGACGACTCCCGATAAATATTTACCGACTTTCGACTCTCCCTCTCTCCGCTCCCTTTATCACTCATAAAGTACAAATAAAACGTGTTTGCTCTGAAGGAAACCCAAACCCTCTCCCTCCGAATACAGGTAGTTTCGGCTTTTATGAAGGCAAGTCTTCATTTGTGATTTCCCAACGGCAGAGGGCGCTGCTCCGGTCAGTCCAAATCGAATGAAAGCCCAGCCAGCCCAGCCCTTCGGGGGGCGGCCTCAGGCCTGGAAATTTTTCTGTTTTTTCTGTTTTTTGTTTCTGGTTTTCTTCCGCTTCCCCCCAGCTAAAAGCTTGACTGATTGACTGCTTTCTTCGGCTCTTGGCTTATTTAATTAAGTGGAATTTGAGCAACGTCCGACAGGGGGCATCATCCCATGTACAGTGGCAGTCATGATGAAGTTTTGCTTAGCATCAAGAGGATCGAATTGTGAAAAAATGTTGTACCAAAGAATGGCCATGAAAACCTTTACACGATCAAGCAGCAAAACACATACACTCCCACACTCAGCTGCAACGAAGATCAGCTGTTTTTGGAAAACCTTATGCAGGAATTGGGTAAAAATAACAACAATATTATTGTTATTATTACTTTGTTGCTATCTTCAAGTGGCCTGTTCAGCTGCCAACATGTGTGTTGTATTTATTTACCATAACTTATAAATTATAAAGCATTTCTTTTGTTATGGCCTTACTCACACACAAATAGTTTTGTGTGTATGTATACATTTATAGTGCTGAAATTGTTTAGAACGTAGTTGAGGAAAAGTGTGTCGGCAGAGTCTTACCGACTGGGAGACTTTGGATTGATTGTGAGCAAATATAGACAGCACAGCACAGCGTCTGGGAATGGGAATACGTAACCACCTCGGTACGAAATGGATTGCTTTAACCCTGAAGAAGATGTTTTGTACATATGTACAAAATCGTGTATCCATTGCTACAGCCATAGCAGAGGGGCCCTGGAAGCAAGCTCAGTGCGCCTTTCCCCTCCCCACGTCTCTTTGCCGTTGTTTCTATTTCCGTACAGCTGTTCTTTTCGCTTACACGTGACTGTGATTGACTCGTAGTCAGGTGCGCTTTTCTGTGCTTTGCTGCGGCAGAGCATAAAGGAGGTGTAACGGTAATGAGCTTGTCGTCGCATAATAAGTTTAAGGTTGAGAGAGAGAGAGAGAGAGAGAGAGCCAACAGCTGAGCGGCCACCATGTTGGGGAGGGAGTGATTGAGGCAATGAATAGATGTTCGAGTGGGCTGGGGGCAAGGGGATAGGGGATTGGGGTTGGAGTGAGCTGAATAATATATGGTGCTGACTGACAGAGTGACTATGCATATTGATAATCTCCGTCAGATAGCAGGCGGACATTTTGAATGGTGCTTGGTGCATGGTAAATAATTAAAGTTAATTGAGTTTTAGAGTTGGCATGTACACACACAGACACCGATAAGGCTGGATGTACCTAAATTTCCTGCATATTTAGAGCAAAACACTCTCACCCACACAACACAGACTTGGGGCGTGTCCCACATCTTGATCGAGATCGAAATAATCCCAACGAACTATAAAAGAGAAACAGCGCTAGAGATACAAATAGAGAACTTTGCCAAAACGGGAACTACGTAATACACTGCCTGGCCGGCCCTCCCTCCCTCCCCTCCGCTCATGATTAAAAGCTCTTTCTGTCTCTCTTTCTCTATGCAGACGTTGCTTTGCCCCCAGCCCCGCCACCTTGGAGACCAGTTGGACCATGCGATGACTACATGATGTTTATTTTTGTAAATTCTGTACAACACAGCACAGCACAAAAAAAAGAACGAAAAATATGAACACAAAATATAATCTAAACAAAGAGCTGTGCTTTGTTAACGAGTTAGAGAAATGTTGTTGTGCGGATTCAAAAGATAAATGAAACGAAAATTCCGTCGAAATAAAATCACATGTCCCCACACCCCTTCAAGGGTATCCTTCTACAGGTTAAACAACCCTGGCATCAACATAAACAAAAAGAAAAGTAACAGTCGAAGGGTGAGAGAGAGGTAGAGGGGACACCAGTCGAGACATCTACATCTCCTTCCGCTCTGCCATGGTTCCCTGCACTCCTGTAACCATCGACATTTGCAAACCCTCCTCTTTTCTACCAAAATCAGCTGCGAATATTTTTTTGGTGGGTTCATTGGCTCGACGCTCTCTTCCACTCTCTCTCTTTCACTCACTCTCTGGCACTCTCACAGTTACGCTCTTCTTTTTGTTGTTTTCTTCTTGCTCGCACACGTTGTTCAGAGTCATTCAACCCAGCAACAAAATAACGTAAAATAAAACGCAATAAGGAGAGCGTCGCGTAGCAGGAGGGGGAGTACTAAAAGAACAGAAGCAACAACAACAACGGGAAACGTCAACGGCAGCCGCGTCGATGGGGTCAGTGAGCGTTGCCACTCTCTCCCTCTCCCACTCCCACTGACCCCCGCGTCCATGATACTATCTATCATCATATTTTGAGAGAGCGAATTTCGAAAATACTTATAATGCGTAGCAAAGTCCATTGAGTCGATGAGATGTGCCAAGTGGATGCCACACACCCGCGTAAATGACACCAGGATATGATCATTTGAAGTACCCAAGAAGTACAGAACAGTTCTCGCTTCTTTATCAGTCCCCATAGAACAATATGACCCTGAGTTGTGCTGCAGTGGCACTCGGAACTGAAACCCCCCAATCTCAGATAGTCACCATAAGGGGCGCAGCTTCTGATAGGCATTCTGGCATTTAATTGTTTGCTTATCTCACTCTCGCCGAATAACCAACCACATGGATTTCGGTGACTCTCAAGATAAGGCTCTCTCTCTCTTGCCTTGCGGCTCGGTTCGGTTTCTCGTTATCATGGAAAAATTAAGCCAAAGAACTGTTTTGAGGTTGACAATGCTTATGGCTTCATTGACTGAATGGAAAACCAACTCTACTCTATGTGTATTTTTATTATGTTTGCATTTACTTTGAGGCACAAAACGTACACTCTTATAAAATGGTAAAACAAGGTTGACACTTCCAAGTACACACAGATGTGTGTGTGTGTTTCTGTGTGTGTCTTTGCATTGTACCGTATGCAGAGCTGTGCGATACGTGCTCTACATGACAATTGCGGGGAGTGGGTACGATAATGGAAACCTTGATGATTGATACAGAATGCGGCAGATGCGGGAATTCGTTAAACTAAAAGCTATCCCTAGCACGTTCATCGAACAGAACATCCAAATACAGAAGTCAATATAAGACCCGTACTATCATTGTGGTCATCACTGTAACAGAGCTGCATTTCTGCGTCCACCTTCATCCCATCTGATCAAAACACCAAAATCCTCTCTGTAAGGGTGTAGGAAAAGTGATTTAATAGCGAGCAAAATAACATAAGAAAATGATAAACATGTGCTCTCTTTTTTTTTGAACTGTTTCTTCCTTTCAGCCTTGTTCCGTTGATCGAAAGATCTAACATGGCTGCCTGGCTGTGTTACATGGATAGAGAGAGAGAAAGAGAAAACGGAAAAGTCTACACTGAAAACACCTTTGCAATGTTTTTACAGGGACTTCGTGTTTTGGCAGTTGATTTCTTTTATTTTATAATTGCATATGTAAGCAATATGTATTTCTATCATCAAAACAAGCCAATGTGAATATTAAATCAATATGGATGAGCGACTCTCTCTCCCCTACACACACACACACTTGTGTGGACAAACTGTCAACTGTTTTAATACGATTTCCTTTGTTCTTTGGGGGCTGCGCAAAAAGGAAATGGAAATGAAATCAAGGATACAGCAGAGCCAACGCTAACGTCGATGCGCCCTTCCCTTTCCATCTCTTTTGGCTTTAGCAGTTTCTTTGTCTGCAAAACACACACAAGCACACCAGCTGATTGGGCAGACATCTGTGTGTATGTGTGTGTCTGCTGTTTTGCGTTCTGCTGAGGAGCGCATCACATACAAATTGAAAAGAACGCAATGAAACGAGAATTGAAATCATTCACTTTTGCAGTTTGACCATATAAAGAGAAGAATCATCGAAGAACGTTGCCAAGAACACACATAGAAGTATATAAGTCCATGTATCACTTTGCATGCTTTGTTTACATAAGGCCCCCACTTACTGGAGAAACTGACAGACAGAGAGTGAGAGAAACAAGTTTCGAGCAGTCTTTGAAGCGAAATTCTAACAAAATTCCCCATAACGTCTTCCGGACGGACGAACATCTGTCCCCGCATAAAGTTCAAAGTAATTAAACACAATTTGCGGTAGATGGGATAACTCAGGGCATAATTCACTAGAGGAAAAAGAATTGCAATCAAAATGGCCGACGACTTACCTTTTTTTTTTAACAAGAAGATCAGATAGGATCGGGCAACGCACTTTCTTGCAATTGCTGGTGTTGCCGTTGCTTCTAATTATAATTTTTTGCCTTAATTAGACATGATTTCAGTTTATTTTGGTTGCAGATATTGATTTGATTTGCTGCTGCTGCGGCGCTGCTTCTGTTGCTGCCTCCCACACACAGCCCACACAAATATACACACAGGCACGACGCACACACACGAAGCCTCTGCTCAGCTGTGCTGTGCTTTGTTGCTGCTTCCTCTCTTCCTTGTGCCTTTCATGGGCTGTGCGCGTGTTGTGTGCCTTCCGTTCGACCCGTCAAAACTGCATACATTGATTTTTTCGCTGCATTTTAAACACTTTCTTGGCCTTCATTTTGTATTAATATTTTATATAACACATCATCAGCCTTTCTTTGCATTGCACACACTTTTGCTCTCTCTTAACACTTCCACTTCGTTTCTTTTCACTCCTTTCTTTCGGTTGGAAACTTTCCGCAAAACAAACTGAAAAAAGCACGAAGAAAACGGACCTAGCTCGTTTCGCTCGTCTCGTCCCGTCGCACCCCTAACCTAACACACCGCTCCTTCAGTAGTTGGTTGTCTTTATTTATTTATTCGCTAAAAATGATCGTTTTCGCTGACGCCATTGCCACTAACTGCAGCCACACAGCTGAAAATGTTGGTGCAAATGCCACCACAGGTGCAGGCTGATGCCAAAACCGCTGCATCGACACCAACAACTGCGCGCTGTTGCGATTTCGATGACGAAATTTGCATAGTTACGCTCACGAACGCACATACACGCACGCCACGGCAATTAATGATTAATTGTTTATTATTTATTTTTTTGTTTTTTATCAGTGTGACCGCGGAATTATTGATCAAATATATCAAGAGACCCTCGGAAATATACCCAAATATACCCTTGCATTTTCAAAATATACTGTGAATATACAGTAAATCTTAAATTATTTTACTCGATTTTTATGTTCTATTTGATATTACTAGGTAGTTAGGAGTCTCCGCGCTAGAACCATAATTTTATCCGATTTATCGATCAATTCTCCACAAGATTGTCTAGTTTTCACGACTTCCTATTCTTGGAATGTTTCCAAATTAGGGTTAAAACTAAAAGGTCAACGAACAAAAATAGCATAAAACGTTACGTGAGTGAGAACGGAATGCAACGTCATTTGACAATTTGTTGCTTGTCAACAGGTAGATAAAGTTTAGTATGGGCATATGTATACCCTATTTCCATTTATTAATATTAAAATTTAATTTTCAAATATCTCTCAAACATTAATAATGACTTTATCTTAGACTGACATGTTTTTAACCTTTTCATATGCCTTCTATGTATATACATATGTATATCGATCTAGTTGTATTCTCGGTATCTGCATAATTTTGTTGAGATGGCTTACCAGCACAGATAGAACGCTTTTGCATTGATTGGAACCAGAGATTTCTTAAATTCGAGGATATCCATTCCTCCAAGGGTACTAAGTGCTAGTTACTTTTCGCAGAATGTTGCTGGTCCATACAAACTATGTTGCCAATGATAAAATACGGAATGGAATTCAACGTAAGCGGGGATGGAATATAGACTCATTGTTGCCTGCGAAAATTCCCATGTTGAGAGAAACATGCGAGTGGGTGTTTGAATACCCTGTATTATTGAATATACCTTAAAAACTTCAATTTTAGAGGTAAATGAAATATTTTGCCTACACTAGTGGCTGATTTGGCTTGTATATCAGTCTTTTTATCAATGGCAAGGTTCTTGTGTCCGGGTATCCAGTGCCAGCCAGAGCTAAAATCAGATGCGTACATCTTTTTGGAGGCACACCCACACAACGGCTGTGATAAGTGTTAAGTTAAGGAACACGGCAGTGTTAAGAGACTTGGGAAAGTAACATTATGTTGCAGGCCCATACACGTATATGCTGTCAAGAGTGCTAAAGAGCGCCAAGTTTGAATTTCTTTCTGCTGCGTACCCTAATTTGTGGTAAATAAAACACTTTGTTTCTCGTTTAAAATATTTGTATGTTAAACCCTTTGTATTTTTATATGTATTGTATATGAATGTAAATTTCGTTAAACCAAAACGTTTATTAGTGTGTCTGTTTAAATATATATATATATATTTTTATGTATATATTATACTTTATTTATTTGTTGTTTTGTTTTGTTGGTACGGAACTAAGTTGTTGCACTTTATCTGTACCGGCAACCCATATCATTGTTAATTATGCTTGAATTGTTCGTTCACATTTCTATGGCTCCTTCAATTACTAAACTCTAACTAAGACATATCAGTGGTGTTTAATTGTTTTAAAACATACAATACCGTAATACAATAGTTGAAACACACTACAAAGAGACACTGAGAAAAAGGACTCGTTAAAATACGCTGCTTACGGGTTCGACTCCAATGCAATACCCATTAATTTTGTTTGTTTTATTTTCTTTTGTTTACTCTCTGGTTTTTCTTTCTTTGTGTAAATATGATTTTGATTTGTTTTTTTTTTTTTTTCTAGGAAAATATATGTTTGGTTGTTATATGCAAATATGACACCATTTGTTTTAGTTCTTAAATTTAGAGAGATTAAAATGAGCCAGGAAAATATCTGTGTTTTGCATTTATTGTGCTAATTCTGACTGAGGTGTGTGTGTGTGTGTTGGGTGTGGTCTAAGGTGCTGTTGTGGCCTGGCCGTTTATTGTCACGCCCAGCACTTTCCATTTGGTTATACGCGAGCAATACTCAGCATCCATTTGAATGGGGGTTTTTAGATGAAAGGAAACCATTTAGTTATCAAACATAAAAGTGTGTACGCAGAGAGATCTTGAGTGGTGAACTACTGCCCCTTGGATATTTGCATTTTACAAAATATACGTATAAATATATAATATTTGTATGTGTCGGATAGGTATAGGGTATATGCATGAATATTGATTTATTTAATTAATTATTTAAGTGGGAATTTTGCATGAGGGTTTGGTTTGGTTTTGGTTTTTGTTTTTTGTTTTTTGTTTTTGTTTTAGAAACGATGATCCATTCAGTTGTGTGTTTGCATTTTGTTTTATATTTTTGTGTGTAAATGAGATTAAATATAGTTTTTTGTTTAACCCCCTGTGTGGTGTGTGTGTGAGTAGTTGTTTGTTCGTTGTGTAATACACATTCAATGGTTTATATGTACATGGATAACACTAATTGCTGTATGGAGTTAGCTGGCACTAAGCTTGAGTTTAAAATAATAATAATAAAACTACATACACATTAAATAAATATTCGTCTCAGATGAAGCTTAAAGATGGGAGTTGTGGGGGGGCTTGGGTTATATGTACTAGGGGTAGGTAGGTGTGTATTTTCTTGTGTGGGTTGAACGCTTTCTGGTTCTATCGACATGTTTCAGAGTTGTCTAAAATTCAAGTGGATCCGAATACGTGGATTCTGTTTTTTCTTTCTTTTCTTTTCTTTTAGCAACATTTAATACAGGTATGTATGAGTTTTTGTGTGGGCGTGGCTGATATTACAACTAATTCGTAATTAATCGCAGTTACAGGCTAGACACAGAACATTCAGCGGTACGTACGATCAGGGCTAGCAAGCCGTCACATATACAAGTGTGCGTGTGTGTGTGCGTGTATATATACCGCTATATACCTGCAAAGACACACACACACACACATACACATATTACACAAATGAAGGTCTTGGGTTAACATAGATATAGAGAACATTTAAATAAAATAATCACAATTTGATGCTGTTTGCTGAAGTTTTGTAAACTTGCAACACAACACACACAAAAAAAAGAAGAGAACTAAAACTAAAGCTACGTTTCGTTTCGTTTCAGTTTCCGCTTCCGCTTTGTTCGGAGCTAGCCGTGCTGGTTGTTGTTGTGTTTATTGGTTACGTTCTGTTAACGCCATCGAGCAGTCCCAGCAAAAACATGCAAATCATCGAGATGAGGGCCATGGCGAACATAACGATGCAGACAGGCCAGCATCAGTCTGTGGCCGCCTTGCGCATTATCTTCCTGGCAAAGCCGATGGCCGTATCTCAGAGAATCTCACAGCAGCGACAGTAGCGTGGCCGTTGTCCGCTGGTCACCGCCGGCGGTGTGCCTGGAGCAAAGTATGCATGCACCTTGATATTTGGTAAATGGTTCTGCAAAAATAAAGACTCTAATTATCTATCTTTTCGCTCTCGCCGGCTCTCTTTTGCTCACCTTCAGCTTGCGTATGGCGGTGCGTGTAATGAGCTGACAGTCGAATAGTTCAATACGCTGTAGATTGTGGCATGAAACCAGATGCTCCAGCGTTCTGTCCGTTATCAGGGGACAATTGTCCAGCTCCAGCACGGACAGTATCTCGGCGGCACAGCTGCCAGTGGTCAGGTGTCTTATGCCATCGTCCGTAATCAGTTCGCAGTGCGACAGGGTCTACATAATTACACAATTAAATAATTAAAGAATGTTGCAGAATGGTTTTAGGTGCCCACCAATTTCTCTAGGCCGGGACAGCCTGTGGCAAGATGAGCAAGCGTTAGGTCCGTGATTTGATTGCACTCCTCCAGATCCATGCGCTCCAGATACTTGCAGTTGCGTCCCAGGGCCTGGAAACCAATGTCCGTGAAATTGCGACAGCCGGACACCTCCAGTGTGTTCAGCAGGTGATTGTGCTGCGACAGGGCCATCAGCGAGAGATCAGTTAAATCCGCACACTTGGACACGCACAGCTTCTGCAGCTTGGGACACTTGGCGGCCAACTGGCGTATAGATGAATCGCTTATGGTCTAATGGATGAAAGGAAGCTTATAAATATAGTTCAAAGACGATGAGTTATTCCTGGCATTGCGTACCTCACAGCTGTGTACATTTAGCACCATTATATCGGGACAGTATTTGGCCAGGCACATTATGGCATTGTCGTTTATTTGTTTACAACCTTTGCTGCTGAATTTGCGCAGCTTGACACAGCCGCGGGCCAGTGCCTCGACGCCGTTCTCAGAAATCAGATGACACCACGACACATTGATCTCCATGAGATTCTGCAAAAATAAACAAATTAAATCTACTCAATTCGAAGGGTTAAGACGGAGGCTTACTGGACAGCCATCTGATAGATATTTGAGGCTATTGTCTGTTATGTTGGAGCAAGAGTCCAAGTTAATGGCCGTCAGTTTGGTGCAGTATCTGCTGATGGACTGTGTGGATATATCTGTAATCTTCTTGCACTCCGACAGATCCAGATGTTCGATGTTGTGGCAGTGGTTCGCTAGAGTTCTACAAAGAGGATTATCTAAAGTTAATAAAGCTTCAAAAGGCGGGGCACTGTGGGCATGGATTCTTACCTGACAGACTGATCTCCCAGCGATTGACAGCCACGCAACGACAGGGACTTGAGAAAGCCGCGACATCGTTGCGAAATATTCTCAATCACCGGCCCCTAAAGTGAACAAAATGAATGTATAAATAGCTGTAGGACATCACCCTCCAAGTGAAACTCACCTCGATATCACGTTGAAAATCAAATAAATTGATTTTCTGCCAGCTGGAACCATCCAGGGCGAGCACATTCCAGTATTTGCACACCTGCAGTTAGGGACATTGAAATATTCATTAGTAGAGAAGGTAACAGAATGGGACTCCCTGTACAGACCTGTGCACAGCGGCATAGCGAGACGACATCCAGATAGGAGAAGACCCGCAGCAGTACCTCCTTTGGCAGTTGTTTGATTAGCTCATCGTCCAGTTCGGTGGCCCCTAGGAATGTTTGCTGCAAAATTGAGTGAGGAGTACAATGTCAAGTTTTACTTTATTTAATATTTATTGAGTACATATGGTATGTATTATATATTATATCGTTCTAATTGGATATGTGATGGCTTTGCTGGGGTTGGGGGCTCAAGAAAATCAATTGACAAAAATTGAGGAAACTTTTTCTTTGATTGGTTTGGACCCAAAAAAACAAACAAACTCAAATTAATAGATCAAAAATAATTGTTGAGGAAAACAAATTAATTGATGGAGGAGAATCATAAGAGTAGAGCGAGAGCGAGATAGTTAGACAGAGAGAAAGAGAGAGAGCGAGACTGAGTGAAGAGTGGGTTTTTGGGTGGTGGGTAGGGGTAGGGGTAGGGGTGGCTATGTACAAATGCTTTGACTGTTGACCAAGAATGATGTAACGACCGCTGAAGGAAATGTCATCGAAGATGGAAACGAAAATCAATTTGTTTTTTGATGTTTTTGTTTTGTTTTGGTTTTTTGTGTTCTTACTGGCTGCTGGGCAACATCCGAATCCTGGGCAAGATAACTGTCTGTGCTGCTGGCCTCAGACCGCTGCAGCGGCTGCCTTTGCTGTTGATCTTCATCATCATTATCAGGCAGGCAGGCGGAGGCATCGGGGGAAACCGATAAGCTGGACGAGGAACAGTCGCTCATGGCAGTACCAGAGCCTGAGGCAGAAACAGAAACGGAGGCAGTTGCTGCTGCTGCTGCTGATGCACTGACCACCACTGGTGTGGCACTTCCAAAGGTGGCAGAGCGCCAGATGCTGCTGCAGAAGCCGCTGATGAGATTTGTGTGTGTGTTGTTGTTGCTGTTGCTATTGTTGTGGCTGTTGTTGCTATTGTTGCCGTTAGTAATGACGCTGCTGCTGCTACTGTGACTGTTGCTGTTGTTGCCGCTGTTACCATTACCGTTCAGTTGTAAGCTCAAATTATGATTGTGGTTGTTGTTCGCTTCGCCCCGCTCCGCGGATCCACTCGCACTCCCACTGACACTGGTGCTGTTGGTGGAGCTGGCACCTGTTCCAGTGCTGCTGCTGCTGCTGCTGCTGTTGCTGCTGCCGCTGCTGAAGCTGGCGCTGGCACTGCCACTGATACTGCTGCTGCCGCTGGGCGCAAACATTGTGGGAGTCTCCTTTGTTTTGCCTCCTCTTATCAAACAAAAAACCAAAGACGCTTCTTTCTGCGTCTATCCTCTGCTGCTGCTGCTGCCGCTGCCGCTGCTCTTTCAATTAACTCTTTGGCAAGCGTGCGCTCTCTCCCACTCTCACACTCTCTTAATGTCCCACTCTCTCGTTGCTGCTTCGTCGTCTTTGTGTGAATGCACGATTAAAATATTCACAAATTGCGTCTTTGATTCGTTGCTCCCGCGCCCTCTCTTTCTTCCGTTCGCTCTCCTGCTGCTGCGGATCTTCCTCTCCTCTCACGCGTTCAGATAATTTCGGTAATCTTCGTTTATTTATTATTAAACATTCGCATCAGCGTCGTCGCCTGGCTTCCCTTAATCTCGTCGTTGCACCGGGAACTGTTTTTTTTTTTCGATTGTGTGCACGTGAGAAAGAGAACAACAACAAAATTATTAAGAGACTCTGGGCTTTAAAGGGTCGCCCGTTGCTGTCGCCGTCCCAAGGTTTACAACTTGCGCACCGCTCTAATTGAAATGCGCACCCAACTCTGAGGCTCCAAAGAGGCACGGAAGCAAAGACTGCCATTGGCCCCCCCACGCCCCCTTACCGACTGCCACTCAACTTAAATGAAAAGTCATCAAAGGCAATTGAAAAAGGCAATCGAATCGAACGTGCGACGAATTTGAGTGAAGCGCGAACAAGAATTGTGGAAAAAAACACACACAAAGTAGGCCTGACTAAAAGATACCCCTTAATCGGATTTATTTTGCCAAAATCTACAGACAAACTCCACACAATTGTAGTCGTTAGGAACTATCATCCATTAAGAAAACTTCCACGGTATTGCCTCCTCCTTTTGAAGGTCACGAACCCCTTATTTAACTTGAAGTTCTCTCCTAGTGGGGGCATTCAAATACGTTTAAAGCAAGTTCCAATTGTTCCTTCAGTTCTTTGTAAAGTCCCAATAATTACAACAAAATACAATGTGTACATATTTATATTGTTATTAAGTTGCTCAATCATAAATATCTATGAGGTCCGAAGGTCCAATGAATTATTAACTGTTGCTTTGGATCTTGAACCTAAATGGAGGTTGACACATTTTCATATCATATTTAAGGGGCGAGGGGCTGGCAAACAAAGACAATTAGTTTATCAAAACAAGCGAAACCATTAAAAACCATGTGTGTGTTTGTGTGGGTGTACTGTGCGTGTGTGTGATTGTGTGAAGAAAACACTTTTTAAAGTGTCCCCGGGAATGCAATCAGAGCAATTTCGAGAAGGAACAATTGAGATTCATGGAACACAAGCGATACGATACACCCAAAAGTACAGTGATCGCTCCGATATGTCTACCCTTTGAGGCTGAAATGGTGTTTTGTGTGCCTTAAGTGGTAAATGTGATATGGCTAGGACTTCTCAACTTTTGTTATGGTTTCTATAAGTGCCCAAGAAATGCAAAGTTCGTGTTTCGGAATAGTCATCGTAGTTAAAATTCAATTCGCTTTGAATGATAGAAGCGACCAGTACAAGGCATTTCAGTTGATTGTTGTATTTTGCATGCTTTATTATTTATTTGATCATGCAACACATGGAATATGCAACGCACACACCCACACACACACACACACAAAATAGATACCAAAGCACAGCTAACATGCAAAAGCTAGGTAATAAAACAGCTGACAAACGACGAGAAAGGCAGGAAGGAAGTGTGGGAAAGCAAGAGCTGGGCTGTAGGGATGCGTGTCAAAGGCTTTGAATTTGAAAAACGGTAAACAAATTACAAATTCCCGTTCAGGCATTTCACTTGCTTAGAGTGACCTCGAAAAAACAAAAGGGAACAACAACAACCAAAGGGTATACACACACACACACACACACACACACACTCAAAGTCATCAAAATAGGGCCACATGACAACCAGTTCACTGCTGCTGCTGTTTCTGCTGTTGCTGCTGGCTGCATTTTATATAAGCCATGGCCAAAGTCAGCTGGACAGACAGCAAAACCAAAAGTTAAACTGTTGTAGCTGCCATCGATAGCGATGGACAAGCTTTGTTCTCTTCTATGTACAACAAATATATAATGTACAATATTCTTCACTGTACATCTGGCTTATATGAAACTGCAGCAACAAGGTCAGCCAGTAAACTGGGTCACCCCTCCAAATTGGGTTGCATTTAGCGTTTGTTGCTATTGTTGCCCGATGCTTCAGATAAATATAGCACATGGGTACATGCTCTGCTCTGTTCTGCTCTCCAAAACCTTATCGTCAGGCACAACAAGGGGAACGATTAAAAGAAAACAGCTGATGACACACCAAAAACAGACGAAACAGCAGAAAAACTGCAAACGAAGTGCAACAAAATAAAGAACTTGGAACGGTATTTGCACCACACACACATACACACTAGACTTCTCTCACTTAAACACACACGGACACACATTTAGAGTACACAATTTACAACAATATACCATTTGTTTATATTTTCTGCTTCAGCTGAGTTATTATCGCTTTTAATTGCATCGAGCGCCCCAGACCCAGACGGGAGGCGTTTGTGCAAGAATGGATTTTCAATAGTTTTTCCAGCAGGGTTCGTTTTCGTATCGGCCTGGCCTGGAAAAACAATTGGACGAACGACGAACACCAACAGAAAACAGAACCAGGGTAAATGCAGAGGCGCGCGAGACACTAAGGCTGAGACGACAGACAGCACACACAGCAAAAGCGAGCCAACATCGATGAAAACAGAGCGCCGAATGGGGAGCGAAACTGAATGGCATCGAGATTCGAGCTTGGGCGAGCAAAGTGCAGAAGAACAGCTGAACAGAACACGACGCGACGGTTAGCTGCTCTCCGCTCGGACAAATGCATGCATACGGAGGTCGACTCGACCCCCACAAAGAGAGCGAGTCAGCCTCGTCAGCTGCTGCGTGTACGGCGGGGGCGGGGGGCGTCTTTTGGGGCGGTGCAATGCACCCACGCCAATAAAAGAAAAATCAAATGAAAGCAAAAAGAAGTGCAAAAAGCAAACAAAGTCTCAATGAGAGCGAGTCTGTTTGCGTGTGTGTGTGCAGAGAGAGGGAGAGAGGCAGAGTTCATGCTGAAAGCATGAAGATTGTTGTATGCCCTTTGCAAGAACACTTTGAACTTTCAACTGCGGCGACGGCAGTTAACAAAATTGCCACACATTAACTGTGTGTCTCTTCCAAACACTTTTACCTTTCAAGTGGGGGAACAATTCTATACGCTAATCTATTTTTGCTACTCATTCACTTTAAATTAGGACAATAAGAAGTTCAACACTCTCTGACTATAGGGTATCTAGGCATGAAAATGAACTGTAAATTCCATGAATCGGCCGCCTCTCTCTCTATTTACTCTCACTCTCTTGCGCTTGTAAATCTGCTTAAGCTGTTGCAGCGCTGCCAGACCTCTGCAGCAACATGCGCCCGTCAGCTGTTTATCTTGACGAGCAATCTGTTTACTTTCGTTTGTTATTGGTTTTCCGCTTCGGGGCTAGATAAGTCCGTTCGTTGGCCATTGCGAATCGCTATAAGCTCTAAATGAATAAGTGTTTCATTCCATCGATTAAAGCATATGTACGAGAACGCAATTTAAACCAGTTGACTACCCCACTCCATCAACTGTATTGCGGTCAACCACCCACCTACCCTCTCTCTCTCTCTCTCTTTCTCTATAGCTGTCAATTAACACTAGTCTAACCATTTCGGCGACGCAGACACTCTCCTCCCTTCCCTGTTTGCTTATCTACACTGTAGTACTTGCACTTGGCCTGGAGCTGAATTTCTTCGAGTGTAAGAAGTCGCCATTCCGTCGATGGTCATTATCTGAGAGGGTGGCGAGTTTTCAGTGAGTTTATTGCTCTTTTGCCTGGAGCCACTGGGCTGGGGGGGTGTGGGACATTAGCCACTTACACTTTTACATTCTTTGTAAACTCCTTTCCTTGTCCTGCTCGGCCGACAACAAAGGCGATGACTCCTGCTGGTGCTGCTTCTCCCACTGTTGATTAGGATGAGACTTCAAAGCGTGCACAGGAAACAAAGAAGCAACATCCAGTAGTGTGGGAGAGGGGGAACAGGAATCTGTTGACTGACAAACAGTCTGCATTAGGAGGAGCGAAAGAGAGCAAATACACAAATGGAAAGCCAGCAAGCCAGGAAGCCAGTCAGCGTAGGGAGGTGCGGAGGAAGACAAAGCAGAGGAATTCCCCCTGCGCAATTCCAGAATGCCACACACCCAAGCAAAGCAAACCCATTCTTGCACTCCCACGTTGCAAGCCCCAGAGAATTAATTGCAGTAACACAAATTAAATACATAACTAAACCTGCTCTCATTGGATACATTACGAAAAGAAGTGCAAAGGGTGAAGGGGCACATCACAGAGTACTCTCAAGTGGTTTACTTACATCGAATCGATGCGGATTGCGTCCAGAATTGGTCATTTTATGCCTTGCGATTTGTAAAATCAAGAAATGCAGCAGCTCTCACTCTCCTCTCTCCACTTCTCGTACACCTCCGCAGAAATTATATTCTCTGCTCTGTTGGCCGGCTCTCCTCTGCTCTGCCTCTCCCACACGCGCACACAGCCACAGCTTTGGGCTCTTTGTGTGCTTGCTTGCGTGCTTATGTGCGTGTGTGTGTCTGTTTGTGAGCAGGAAATTATGCGTCGCTGTTATTGTTGTTCTTCCTCTTCTGCTTGTTGTGATTACTGTTGTTGCTTTAGGTAGTTCTTTGTTCTGTTCTTTTTTTCTTTTTGATTAATTGAAGCTCCTGCTGCTGCGTTTTTGCATCTGCTGCTGCGTGCGTTACACTTCTACATCACAATCACCACCACAACAACTGCATTCGCTGCAGTTTTTCGCCATTGGCATTATATCAACCTGAAACTTTGATTTGCCAATCCGCTGCTTGATGCGTAAATAAACTTTTCTCTTTCAGGCATCTTTTTCGCATCTCCCCCGCACTTGTTGCTGCTTTTCTTTTTACTGTCTTTCAAACTGTTAATTTTTATGTAATTGCAAGTTTTTTCGTCGCTGCAAAGGAAACTGCAATTGCACTGCACTCCGAACCAAAACATACGAACAGTGGGACCGCGGAATTATCGATCAAATATACCCCACAGCCACCGCAAATATACCAAAATATACATTCTCATGTTAAAAATATACCGTAATCATAAATAATATTCCTTGATTTTGATGTTCCATTTGATAAAACTATCTTATAAATCCTCCTTTTTATTGCATATTGCTATTTATTGCTATGATCTTATATTTTACAAATTAGTTACTACAAATTTTTTACATATTAACAAATTAGTGAAAAAGTTTTATTAATTAGCGCGCGCGAGAAATTATGGAAAAATCATCATCATTGTCTATCAACGATTGATTTATTTTATGTATTTTCTTGTAATTCTATATATTTTCTATACTCAAATATTAATATTTTATAAGTAGTTGTTCATTTGTATTTAAATTTTGCATACTAGCCAGCTTTCCAATCACCCCTTCAGGAAGCAAGGGAGCTTTCACGCTTCGAAATTGGCTCATCTGACTACTGGGCTTTAGAGATACCATATATTCATTATTTAGTATTATTATTTTTGGTATTAATATTTTGGTTAGTATTAGTCCCATCTGTCTTATTGTTGATGTAAGTTAACAAAATTTTCCGAAATTGAGGGTTGGATCCCGTCTAAAACACCGACAATACAATAAAGGGAAAATATAACAAGATAAGTAAGATGTGGCCGCTGGTAATGGCTGTCCTCAGGCGCAATGCCGTTTACATAACCCTGCCCATTGCCGGTATTGTGGGTTTCATTGGCTATAATCTGGAGAGCCTGCTGTCTGACAAATTTACTCCCTACAGCCGTAAGTTGTGCCGAAATAACTTTCCCGTTGGTCTACATCGTACTAACAAACTTTTGCAGCCTCCATTCAGGAAGTGCGAGCCAAGCGGTTGACCGAAGAGAGCCTCACATCGAACGTCACCAATGTGGAGAAACTCCGGCTAAACAGCTCTGTCCTGGAGCGGAATCTGTCCCCTTCCCTGCAGCCCAAGGCCTGAATTAAGTGTTTTTATCTGTAAATCTTAGCTAAAATTAAAATGTTGATAAAAAATGAGCAAAAAAATTATTGTATCAGAACATCCCTTGCGGGGATCGAACCCGCGACCTTTGGATTAGAAGTCCAACGCGCTATCCTCTGCGCCAAAGGGACAGGTGGTGGACGGTGTGCAAATGACTCACTCGAACCCAGTGGAGTTTCCCCATTGACAATCCCGATAAATTTACTCAAATCATTAATAATTGTTTAATGCTAAATCTAGTAATCTATTACCATTATTTTTTGGCATACGTAAAATGTTCTTGGCAAATTTCGTTCTGAGTGTAGAACCTTTGACGGGGTTGAAATGTTCCTTAGACGGGACTGAACACATCGCCTCGGTGGCGCAGTTGGCAGCGCGTAAGTCTCATAATCTTAAGGTCGTGAGTTCGAGCCTCACCCGGGGCATGTAACTTTTTTGCTTTTTTTTTTTCCCGGTTACTTGGCTGTAACTGAAGAAACGCATCTTTTGAATGGTTTTCATTTATACTTGTTACATATTCGCTTTATTTGTATTATTTTTTAGACAGTAGCAGACTTTTACAAAAACTTAATTAAGTGCTAATGGATCGAGTGGAATTTCAATGTGATTTACTTTCCCATGCGCTGAATGGACCACTCCTGCTGGCAGAGCGGACACCGGTTGTTCTGCTTGACCCACAGCGACATGCAGCAATGGTGGAACGAGTGGTTGCATTCGCCCCAAACCACCACACAATCCTGGCGTCCCATAACATCTCGCTTGTTGTCCGCCTGGCAGCGCAGACACGAATCTGGAAGAGAGTAAGGGAAGAGAACAGATTCGTTAGCAACTGACGACAATGAAGAGTACGGGTGTAGACTGATCTTCAAGTGCACTTGGCACTTGGCAATGCTAGAGCCGCGTCAAATACGCCACCAGCGGCATTGAGCGACAATTAGCCGGCTCGATCTTTGCCCAGCAAACGCTTCCCTCAATCACATTATGATGCACAAGCCCTTTCTATTTGCAGAATGTCTACGTATTTATAGAGTGTTAACTTCGTTATGCAAGACAAACAGCATGAGGCTTATCATAATTCATGTTAATATCGAAAATCACCTCAAATGGCAGACATTTGATATGTGCAGGGTCCCGCCAGCAACGCGCTTCATTCAGAAAATATTCACACCAGAAACAGCCAGTACTTTCATTCAACAAAAAGTGCAATGAAAATCATAAATTCACTCAACCCAAGGGGAACGAGCCTTTACCCCGTTTTTTGGGTGGGTTTCGTGGGAGAGGTCACTGACTCAGCGGCCCAAATTTGGGAACGCATCGGTTTTCACTGTCCAAAAAACGATTTCTCAGAAGCGCTCCAATATTTCGCCAAGTCAATGCAAAAATGGTTCAATCATTGCCTCTGTGTGTGTGTGTGTGTGGATCGGTCATCACCTGAGCCGCTTGAGAAGACCTGCTGCTGGTGCAGGTGTTGGTGTTCACATTTCGAAATATGAGCGCGTTGGCAGAAAATTTACAATCCAATCCAATCCAATCCAATCCAATCCAGCTAAATGCGTCGTCGTCATCGTCGTTCTACATGAAGTGAGGCATCAAGTATACGCCGCTGTGGCTGCCGTTGCATCGTTCAATGCTGCTGACTGGGGCAGAAAGAATAATGCCATAGCCGGCCAGGGAGTCGACCAGCAGACACCCGCCACTCGGATTTGTTTCAGGTAAATCGAATCAATTTGGGGATTTTTTTAAATTTTATTAACGAATTTTAATCGTTGTTGGGGCATTCAATTATATTTATATGCGATGCCCATATACCCCGCTTGTGTGTCAGGGAAGTGTACATCCATAAGTACAAGGGAAATGTGACCACTTCGATGAGTCAAAGAATTATGTTTTGTGGTGTGAAAAATTACCATTCGATTTCCCTGATTCATGTTTTTACTTAATTTTGTATTTCTTTTCATAGCTGTAATTGAAAACCGAACGACAACAGGAAATTGTTAACATATTTCCAAGAATTTCGATGCAGTTTTTGTCAACGAAGTCAATAGCCGTTCGGGATGGGATGGGATGGGTTGGAATGGGGTGGGAGTAGAAGCAGGGCTCTAAGCGAGGCTTAAATGCGTTCTTTAAATAAATTATTGCTTATGTGGGCGGTAATTTGTAATGGGTTTGGATGGGATGGGCGATTGAGTTGGGGTTACAGAAAATGGCACCTAATTGCGTCGTTCATTTGGGATCTATAAATATGATTCATTATTCGAAGGTTTACTCCGATTTCAATCATCAAAGCGTTTGTTATAGTTTAGAGCACTCTCCGTTAGGGCATCCTATTGTGTTAATCATATTTCGATGGATTTATAATAGCTAAAATTGTAAGCAAAAGCGCCTAGCAGATCGCTTAACTCTGAGTCGCGCAATTTCCAGTACGCATTACGTGAAAATGCGCTCGAACCTGATGCTACTTTTGTTGGCAGTCCTGCTCCAAATAACGAGAGTGAGTAAGTTTCAGCTGGGTTTCAGCCGCTTAAAGTCGCCTCTTTTGCTTGCAGGCGACACGCCTGCTGAAATTCACCAACGTCAAGTGCCAGGATTTACCCACAACGGCGGGTCTCACCAGATACGATTACTGCCGCCTGAAGGTGGTGCGGCGCAACCATGTGGAGCTCTCGCTTAAGGTCAGCCTGCTGCAGCTGCCTGTGCGGAATCTGACCACGCGACTGCAGTGCTTTCAGCGTCGCGACGGCTACCGCCCCTTCATGTACAACGTTCTCTTCGATTTCTGCAAACTGATGGACGGCAGACGCCGTGAACTGTCCTTCGAGCGCTTCGTCTTCGATGCCATCAGCAAGCACAGCAACTTCAATCACTCCTGTCCCTGGAAGGAGGTGCGTTCTAAGAATCGGGTGTGTGTTATCCAGCTAATATTCTCGTATCTCCCTCACCCACTTAGAACCACATGACGGTGGAGAAGTTTGCCCTGGATCCAACGTTAATAAATGTGCCATTCCCTGCGGGGGTCTTCACCTTTTACGCATACGGCATACCACGCACATTGACACAAGTGTTTTTCGAGAAGGCCGACTGAAGACCGAGCACAGGAAAATGATCATAATAAACATATGTTTTTCAGTGTCTCGTGTACTTATTGATGGGTATGTGCATTGAATTGCGCAGGAAGAAATTTCTAGAAACGTTTCGATATTCAATCAAATATCATAGCTATTTTCAATTTCCCTACAGTATTTATTAATGGGTGTCTGCTCTGCCAGTTTTGTTCATCGATTTGGTTTGCTTCCCTATTTAGTTATAAATGTGCGGCAATGTGGCAGTCAATCAAGTCAATAAACAATAATTACGATCGTCTAGTTGGCTCGGCGATGGAATATTTTTTTAGAGGGCTCGTTGTTGAGTGGGCCTGTCCCAGGAACAGTGGAACAGTTTGGGCAAATATGCTACAAAAAATATCCTTCATTTTTAGTTTTCATAGCTATTCATTTATACAAATCTTTCATTTCAAAAATTCTAGAAAAATGAGTCAAACAAAATAATCCCACAGTAGAGACAGGGAAGGAATCTCTACTGCGTCGTTGGAAATCTTCGAATTGATTTATTCATTCGACTCTTTGCCAATTGCGATCGTTCAGTTTGTAGTTGTAGGGCCTGCCTCCAGGGGGTGTGTCTTGGGAATTGGTAAATATATATTATATAGTAGAAGAGTTATGCAGATGCATGCAAAGCGACAGCCAGACGATAGTTGAGCACCAACCGGGTTAAGTACAAAATGTTTATTGTCAGATCACACGAATCACAGACAAAACGAAACGTGACAATGACGCGGTTCAACCCACACCAAGACCCAGTTTCAGGGACTATCCAGCAGTGCATTACATAATCAAATAGCTGACAAATACCCCCACCAAAAGGCTGATTCAAATATCATTCAACAGGATAATTTCGATATATTCTTTATGCTATTTCCAGTATAGACTCCCTCTGCCGATATCTTGAAATGCAGCGCCACTGAAGGCCGACTGTCTGAGTTAAACCTGTTCGACGGGCACCCAGAGATTGTATTTGATTTTGTTCAATGAAATGACTACAAGTCGGCCGATACATTCCGACAGTTGTGGCCATTCAAGTTCCAGTTTGCTGCACCTGACCAGACCGGACGGCGGTCTATGGATGGAGCTCTGTGGCTGGGTGAAGCGCATCTAATCGAGTCTGGCGCGGTGTATGCAAATGTCGTGCCTCACCGTCTGTGCCCCACCCCTGCTGTTATGCAAGTTCAAGGTTAGCGGGTGCAACGGATGTCTGTCTGGGATCGGGAGCTAAATTTAGCCTCGCAAGTTCTCGCTAGATCTCGCACATGTGACCAGCCCATTCTCGCGCCCAACGACACCCCAATGACTATTTTATCGGGACGATAATATGTCTCTTATCTATCGATTCAAGCGCCCCCCTTAAGCCCCCCCACTGTGTCGCATGTTTTCTTGGAAAGCTCTGTGGGCAGTGCTTCGTTTCACGTATCACGTTGCACGATTCGTTCTGGTTACTTATCTGCCGTTGCCCGCTCTCCAGCACACAACTCGTTTTCTGTTCGGCTGTAACGGTCTCGCTTACGTGACGTCACACACGGGGGCTTGTCGCTTGCCGCCCCAGCAGCCGCCAACAGGCGCCAACAAACAGCAAAACGAACGTGCCCCCTAAAACCAGCTGCTCTCTGCTCTCTGCTCTCTTTCTCGCTGCTGCTGCGCTAAGCGGGCGCTGCGCTCTCTTAAGTGCATGCATCCCCAGCCTCAGGCGGAAAGTGGAGAGAGAGCAAAAGAGAACAAGAGCGAGGCACATTGGGAGATCTCTCTTTTTGTTGGTGTTTGTGCATTCAAGGTGCATTTTTTTGGGGTGAGGTGAGTCTGCATGGAAATATACTCTGATGGTGGACATTTTGACAGTGCGGAAGATTTTTTTTCCGACTTTTTCACAGATCACTTGACAGCGCATTTCTGTGGAAAGTCACACATGTGACCAAGATTTAGGTGTGAATGTTAGTGGGCAACTGTTAACATCACGCTCCCTACACAAGGGACGCTCGGCGCAAGGAGTTGGAACCAATTAACAAGCTATACATTATGGGATAATACAATGGAAGTACTTCGCATGTATGAGAGATCATCCAACAAGTGAGTGATCAGATATTTGAGAATAATGATCTAGGGTTTGGATCTAGAAAGGAAAACCTTTCCACCAATCCCTCAACAAATTATTCTCAATATATGTATTTCAAGGTTGTCCAAGTGCAGCTAACCCAGTGACCAACTTGGCCGCATCTGCATCACGTGGGGGCGACAGATCTCGAGAACATTTCTGCAACGTTCGCTGTAAAGTGGCGCAGATAACGAACGACACACACACACAGAAACCTATGCACTTTTGGGCTGGCAAGTGGTAGAACCCTGCATCATACACCATCCACCAGAGACCAAGGCAGAGACCGAGAGCGCAAAGATCAGCGAACGAAGAGGGAGAGGCACAGACGGGGAAAATACTGTGCAAACTTGAAATATTTACAGTATGGGTCTCACACATTGAATGCCAGAATCGATGGGAACCGGCAGAGAGACGAAGAGAGTGAATCATGTTTCGGTTGCGGCGACAGCGACAAGCATAGCTCCATGACAGTGGAGGCGCCCCACAAAGTGAACGGAAAATTTTGTGATTGCTTGAAATGATTTTTTTTCTTCTTCTCTTTTTTTAGTCATTTTTTAAATGTTTGCACCCTGCATTTGGACTCTGTCCCCCATGGAATTCTGTGGTGTGCGTGTCAGTGGTCTGGTCTGGTACATTTCCATAAAATTTTCCATTTGTCTTAAATATAGGATCTGCGCACAGGCGTCTCCACCTCCTGGAGTAGCATCACATACGAGTGTCATTGTCTCGCGTCTTGCGTAGCGAAAGCTGTTTCTTTTTTATCTTAATTCGCTTTCTGGTCTTTTCTTTTTGTTTGTTTCGATCCCGATCCCCAACGCGCTGGCCTTGGAACAGTTTTTTGGCACGCTTTACATAAGGCAAAGGGGTGTCATATGAAAGCATCAGCAGATATGCTGCCACATCCAGGAGGTGTCCGTTGTAATTCCTTGAAATTTGTGATGCTACAGGGGTAGTATCGTGTTTTTCATTCGAAATAAAAGACACTCAATTGTTAGACTGCAAGTTTTAGTACGACCAATGGCAATACAAATTAGAATAATTATAATAATCTCGTATATCCCAAATCGACCGCGTGACATTCATTCGGCATGGCTGTGGGCAAACAGCCCAAAATCTCCCATCCACATATCTTGGTGGCGTTGACACTGCACTTGCACCTGCCCTGATCATTGCACTGGCTGGTCGCTGGATTTATTTACTTTGTCTCGTTGTTAGCTGGAAGGTGGCTTTCCATATGGCATCTGAAAGTTAATGTCACTCGTAATGGACGTGTAATTGCCCAGTTAACTGCAACTGTAACTGGCTGCCTGCCTTTTGTAATCGTAATACTCGTCATAATCCCTGTCCGCATGACAGACTAATTTTACTTTACAATTTACGGCATTGCCTGTTTGCTGTTTTTAGGGGCCGGGCCTGTACTTTAAAATGTTATAAACTTCTATGAAAGATATATTGGAACTGCATACTAAATACTACATAAATACTACACTCTCAACGCGTTCAGAGCCTATTAATCAGTCAATATTAAAGTTATTAAATATTATAATATTAAAAAAAGAGAGAAAGATAAGTTTTTTAAGAGAAAAAAACAGAAAAAAGTTACATGCCCCGGGTGAGGCTCGAACTCACGACCTTAAGATTATGAGACTTACGCGCTGCCAACTGCGCCACCGAGGCTATGTTTTTAGCGTTGGCCGATTGTATACTTGAGTATGCCACGTGGCGTGTGGCTGTTCCAGGGACTGTAACTGCATTTCGCATGGACTTTTGTTATTGTACAGAACAACGATATGATATCGAAATTACTTGCCCTTGACCGAACATTTTTGCACGTAAATCAAGGCTGTGGAATAATATTATTTCTCGCATATTCGTTCAATATTTGTGCATTAATTGTAAAACAAAAGGTTGCATTCGAGACTGTTTAACTTGAGTAATTGGAATTGCGTTTTGGAATGTTGTCACACACAACGTTTTTTTTTCTTAACTGTGAAGTGAAGAACCAAAGGATTATAATGGGTTTACTTTAGTTGAATATTTAGTTATACGATTATACACAGAGAGACAGGGAAACCAGCTCGTGGTGCTTTCACAGTGGTATGCTAATTAAAATACAGACTACCAGACGGTTACACAACTCTGACCAAATCTGACCTAATACATGCCCTCATCTATCGAATTCTTTTTTTAACCATTTCTGGAATGTGCATATTCATGAAGCCTTTTAAAAATACACGTCTCGTCTTTGCTCGTAATCAATTGAAACTTCCGAAACCTGATAGATACCGTGTTCGAGTATTTTAATCTATTCATAAAACACACACGTAGACTGAATGCAAACATTAATATGTGTGTGTTTGTCTAGTGGCTATGACTAATTAGTCAACGTTAGTCGGCACTCTAGAGTTTTAGCTTGTATTAACGTCAGAAACTTTGCAAAGTTTCGCTGATCGACGGCGGGAAGTTGGCGTGACCTTGAATGAAGGGCACTGGTTTGCCATTTAGCCATAATTGCGTTTACCTGTACAATGCACACGACTGTAGGCAGACAATCGCGCACGAACACTCGCACACACATTTCATTGTCTCTCTCGGTCTCTCTCTCTCTGTTTCTTTTTCTCTGTACAGCTCTCATCTGCACACGTGTTTGCTGTTGTACTAGGTAAGCACCTCTCATTGAAAATTATCCACACAGCAATATACAGCATATGTGTACATATATAAATAGAAAGCAAAAGTCAAATTCTAATGATTAGTTAGCAAAAAAAGAAACAAGAAAATAATATTGTATTGAGCCGAATTTTTAGATACACTTGCAGCTGGATGCCTCCTATTCCATTTTCATGTGCTTTGTTTGCTTCTTTTTCTGATTGGATTATCTTAAGGTGCGCCTTCTAGTGTTGCGAACGTCTTCTTTAAATCATTATACCCTTTCCCAAAGTACAAACGTTTTTGGCTGGGGGCAGCGATCAATTCAGATTTGGTCAGTGACTGGAAAGTTGAAAGTACAGACGTGCATCGATTAAAGCACCAACTAAATTCTGCAAATCGCGATGTTCGTCATAAACCACTAATCAGCAAATCAAATTGTAAATGTTCTAGGTAGGTGAGTGGGGGAATATTCACTATTTATGGCGTACACAGTGGAAGCTTGCGGTTCTTTGTGTTCGTGTGCACTTTTCGCTGTATTAGTTGGAGGCTCGTCTGGGTCTTGCCAAAAGCAACAACGTCACCAGTTCACTACATATGAATACATATGTGCACATACATATGTATGTATGTATTTGACTATAATGCCTGTATATGTATGTACCTTTTTTTTGTGGGCGCGTGATGAGCGACTAAGACAGACAGAGAGGGGGAGCGAGAAGGGTGGTCCCACCTCATCACATGCTTAATTTTACTTTTTGTATTTCATTTAAATGTTATTTTCTCTTGATATTTGTTCTTATTCATTTTATAACACTTCGTCTTTATGCTAATTTTAGCATTTTGGCAAAAAGAGAGAGCAGAGAGCAAGAGAGCGTAAAAAAGATCACGAGAGCCACCGCGTCACAGTGTGCGGGAAGCAGAGAGAGGAACTCTGTGCTGAGAGAGAGAAACGGAATAAATTCGCGTCGTTTGTCGTATTGATGTGATGTGACTCCAACACCAATTAGATAAATAACCTTTTAATGGATTTTCGTAATTTATTTCAATTTGGTCGCAGTGCGAAAGGACTGCCGGGCAGGGAGTTCTTTAATTAGCGCATGGAAAATTTTTACGCACACGCAAACCAATATTTATGTGTGTGCTCTGGCCCACGAACAGCGCAGAGGATGGAAAAAGAGATCTTTCTCTGACGCAATAAGTGAGCAATTGCATCAGCAAATTATACCACACGACCCAATACGTGCGCCTGCGCAGGCTTCAGCTTCGACTCTGCCCCATAGGTTGGTCGGATGAAACAGCAGCTGCTGTCTTGTGGATAAAAACGAACAACTTGATATTCGGGAATGCTTCCATCTTGTAAAAGTGCACCTTGCATTTTTTGCTTGCTGCAAGGAGGAGCGTCATGTTCTCTCTTCCTTCCTCTGTCGCTCTTCCGCGCTGTTGTCAAGCGACCAACCAAAGGCCTACGAACGACTCTCTTCTGGTATGTGGAGCTGCTGGGGGCTCGTCTCTTTGCGATTTAGTTGTTGTTTCTTTTTGTTTTGTTAGCTGCGAGCGTGGTGTCTGCTCTTCTGTTTTTGGCTGTGCCACGCTCTAAAAATAACCAAAGAGGAAGTGTTCGAGTGAGCGACTGCTTTGGCAGCGATCTAAGAGGGAGGTACAGTAATTACGAGAAAGCTCTATGCTCGTTACGTCATGTGAGTGTGTGTGGAACATAACTGATATTGCTATCTAATTTTAGATAGTAGGTAGGCAGGGATTTGCTTGAATCACCTTTTTCCACATGCCCTTCCTCCAGTACGGCATTGTTGCCTCCTCCAGGGACTTCTGCATTGTTTGAAGAGGGTTCATTGCACTTATTTTTTGTACATTTTAAACCACTACGATTTCACGTTTTTCTCTCTCTTCCCTCTCTCTTTCTCTGTTAAGCTCAGTTTCTGCTGTCAATCAAGTTTCGAATTGAAAGCGTTTTTTCCAACATTAACCTACTCTAAAAACAAAACTAAGACCACCAAAAAATCTATCAAACTGTTGAGGCTTTGTTTTTACTTTTCCTCGACTTCTGGCGGAGGGAGCCTTGAGTCATGTCACGCCAAACACACATTCGATCAAATCTGCGCCTAGAGTCGAAGGCAAATCACGGTCGATATGGAAAATAACAACACAAACACTGAACGCATGCTTCGCAGAATCGTGATTAAAAACTTTGCGATAATTGTTCGCTCCACGCCAAGGACAGGGGCGCAGATCCCTGGGGGGTATAAGCAGCACTGAAAACCTCTCTCTGGGGGTAAGTCAAATCTGAGGGGTTAGGTATCAAAAAGGTTCGCTTTTTTTAACTTTAGTCAAATTTCATCAGTAAAAGATCCGATCATGGAAGTCATGGAAACTTGTTTATATCGCTGACTGGCGTCTGTCGCTTGCGTTATTCATGTCTGTATCTACAAATAAACTCACTGGTACTTGGAATTGTAGCGGTCTCATTGGACTGCAATGTTTATGCCACGTTATGAAATACATAGGGGAAGACGAGCCCCCGCTTTTGGGGGCGCGTTTGGCATTTAAAGCGAAATAAATAAGGCAATTAAACTTAAATCGAAGACTGTGAGTGGCGCTCTTGTCCACAATATAGTATTAATTATTTTTCTTATGCTTTTCCATCATCCATCATCATTGCGTCAGGCCCCCGAAAATAAATTGAAATTGGAAATCAGCAAAGGAACAGATGAAATGCTCCTCAAGGCTTCCACAAATTTGCACGCGCCTCAAAGTCAACTTAATAATATTCAATTGAAAATATGTGTGTAAATAAAAATCAATTGATAGGCAGGCACTCACACACAGCATCCAGTGTGGACCATGCCATGCATAACCATAACTGAACAGCGGCCAAAACAAATCAATAAAAATATGAACTGAACGGAATTTCGTCACACCGAACTGGGATTTATCCTGTCTATATTGCATTTCATTCTCAAATGGGAATTTGTTACGCTTGGAAACTGCACTGATCTCTCTCTTGACTCGAACCCATGGGAAACCCACCGGAACTGCATTGATCTCATCTAATGTAATAGCCAAGAGGCTCGTATTCCTTGTAGGGCACACATGTTTTTGATGGTGCCACTGGGTCGCCGGCGGCTCTCACTCTCTTATCCTAGCACTACTACTACGCTAAACGAACGCGTCATCGCCCACACAGCTTCCGAGAAGCAACAACAGTTATATACCTCCAACTAGGAGGCGTTCGTCCAACGCACACTAACGATGAAACAAGACGGGGAGCGAGGCGCAGTGCCAAAGTCAAAACACGGGCGACCCCCATTCATTCATGCCTTCTTTTCGACCTTCGTTCCTCTGCTCACTCTCTGCAGTCTTCAGCGCTCTGCTCTCCCGCTTCAACGCTTCGCCTGTTTGCTCACTCACACACGTGCAGACTCGGAGCGGGAGAGAGACTCTCTGGCGGCCTGTTTTACCGTTGGAGAACAACACACTGTGCACAAAAGCTCAAACGAGTTGTTGCTGCTTCTGCGGAATCGGAATCGGTGTGCGCTATATAAGCGTTGCGCATTCGAATCTCGTACTTCAGTGCCACAATAGTGGATACATTTAGTAGTTTGTTCAAAAGGTAAAAACGAGGCGCTCTCCCGAGCGATAGCTGAACGATAAAAACAGTGAAAACTATAAATTCCACAACAAACTGAGGACTGAATTTCGATTAAAATATTACAAAATAAGTAGCGAAATGCCGCAAAAGTGTAAACTCTTGTTAGCTAGTTATGTATTTCTGCTCCAACCAGTTCCGGTCGGCCCGTAACCTTATCAACTAAAAACTTGTCGCGATTCTCAAGAAATTTATGCAGAAAAAAAAGCGAAAAATAAAATACTACTACAACAATGAGAAGCACCAAGTCTCTGGTCTGTCTGGCGTCAAGCAAAACGTTGATTTTATTGCAAATTTATGCGCATTTTTTGCATACTACGTCAAATGCCAGAAAGAGATGGAAAAGGTTCCTTTAAACCGTTCGAAACAATTTCAAATTTGTAATGAAGCGGCAGTGGCAGTGGCGGTGGATGGACTGGACTGGACTGGACGACACTTGTCTTTGTCGTACCAGATAGATTTCGCCAGCTACCACCACTTTACGTAATGTGTGTTGGCTTTGTGCAATGCAACAAAAACAAAACCAAACCCGAAAACTAAAGAAAGAAAATGAGAAAGAAAAAAAAGGAAAATGCCATTTGATTTGCCAAGGGTAAAACTGCAAATTTTCTGAAAAGAAATGTCGAGAAAACTGTTGAGCGATGCGGGCCAGAGAGCGAGCGATACGGCGATGGTGGCGACCGCGAAATTTCTTAAATTTAGACCACAAATTTTGTTGTTTTTATCGTTAGTTTCTGCGGTGGATATGCATGTTTGTGTGTGTACGTACGAGTATGTAAAATCTTACCCAGTGGGGGCGGGACGCTAAAAATTCCTTGCGAAAAACAAGATGAAATAAATATAAGCGATAGGTGAAATACGAAATATTTCGGAAGCGCGCAAAAAGTGGAAACAAAGTCCAAAGCTAACAATCATCCTTCAGTCACACAGTCCCGTAGTCTCAGTCTCTCAAGAGTCCCACAGTCCAAGTGTGGGCGATGTCTAATTAACTTGAAATTAATTATAATCTGCAACTAAATGTGGAAATTGTCGGCAGTCTTTTGTTCATTTCAGCGCTGCTCATGCAAAAAGTCTGAGTACTACATACACCGAGTACTTTGTCAGCACGAAAACGTTTTTTAAAAATAAAATGCCAAAAGATCATGACAAATGCAAAAACAACATAATCGCAACGTTGCACTGTTGACAAATGAGAGCAGTCAGTTCATACCTGAGTGTGTGTGTGTGTTTGTGTGGCCTTAAGAGAAGCAGGTTCATTCGGCACGTGAGTCGATTTTGTAAGAGAGCAAGCCCAGCCATTCAAAGAGAGACTCGTTTTGAGCGCAGTCTAAGAGCGCGCGTCAGCACGCTTTTCTCGAGCGTGTGCGCGCAAGTGTGAGGCAATAATTTGGGGGGGCTCGTGTTGGGACAGATCAATCGTTTAACATCGCACTAGAGTCTAGATAGCTAGACCCCCGAAAAATAGATATGTGTAGTGATTCACCCATACACACCACACCCCACTCACAAAGCCTCAAATATAATCACGATAGAAATAGTTTCAAGGTTAATGGGAATTTTCGGAACTGCAAATTTTGTATTTGTAATTGCGTTTCAGTCGCAAATCACATAGAACACACATTTATTATACATAAATAGTAATCATTGCAATTGAACTTTGCTTATCAAACTTTGTCCACCGCACCACGCCCCCTCTCGGCATTAAATTGCTAATCGTTATGTCATTCGCCGATAAATATTAGCGCAGAATTTAAAAAAAAGCGCCACCCACATTCCGCGTAGGCAAAGGCAGAGAAGGGTGTGAGCGGGGTACGGTTATGATTGAGCGAAAGAGCGTCCAGAGACGACGTCATGACGCCCACACACAGTCGCTGCCAGCAGTCACATGACGCAGGAAAAGAAGAAAAAGGAAAGGAAAAAAGCTAAAGCCAAGAAAATGCTTGACAAAAACCAAACAAATGAAAATATTTCGCTATTTTTTCTGCGCAGTCATTAATTAGCGGGTGGAAAATTTTAAAAATACATACACACACACGCACATACACATATTTATCTTTTTGCCGCATGCCAAGTATAAAAGATCATAAATAAATTCAAAGAAAGCCAAAACGTTTACAGTGGCTACCAAAAAGAAATTAAAATAAAAGATCAACAAATTTGATGGAATATATTTGAAAAAGGAACATACTTTTGCGACCCACAGTGTTAATGTTGGTCACGCGTGATAGCCAAGGACACTCGCGAAGTGGAAAGTGGGTGTGTGCTGGGTGCCGGGTGCTATCAAAGAGCAAACACATAAATTGCATTCGATAAGAGCGCAGACATCAGACAGTAAAAAGTTACTTAAACTGGTACTAAGTACTGGTGCTACCTGCCAGCAGATAAGTTAACTCAATTTTGCATTCTTTTTTTCCATTGCAGCAAAGACAAAAAGGAATAAAGTCCAGAGGAAGACACTGTTTACCAAGCCAAAAGAGGAAAACAAAACAAAAACCAAATCACTAAGAACTCCCCCATAGAGAAGGACGAGCGATTAGTTCAAGTTCAATCATACAGCTGATAAGATGAGCGGACGCGACAACAGAGGCGCCGGCGGCGGTGGTGGTGGCGGCCACCAGCCCCTGAGCAGCGCCATGGGCAAACTCAAGGAGAAACTAACCAGAGCAGGTGTAAGTACCAATGTTGGGGTAGTCCCCAAGACAAGTGGCGGGCACTAAAGTGCACTTAAGTCAAATGGTAATTCCTTGTAGAGCTTTACTTTCATTTTGCTGTTTAAAGTTGTTTAAATTTGATATTCAAACTAACTTTATCGCCGAAATGCAATTCATTGTCAATTAGAACATAACAAAAACAAAACTGAAAAAAAGAACAACATGGAATAGACACATGACCGATAAGGAGGATGCTGGCTGAACCCCAAGCTGAACCTTTTGTGGCACGGCAGCAGCATAATAATCGCAAAAATATATTTTTTGTGAACGTTCTTGGGCATGGATCGGATTGAAGCGGTTCTGATTGGTGTTGGGGGGACTGGGAGCATGGACGTTGGATTGTTATAATTGCTGCCAAGCCGTTGGCGATATTCATTAATTCGCGTTTGTCTGCCGCGAACAGAGATTAATTTGAGATCAATCTTGAATAAATTGCAGGACGATCAGGGCTATCATCGTGTGGAGAGCAATTTGTCCACATCGAATACGGCCACCAGTTTGGACACAATACTACCGGAGGATCCGTTTCTCTTTCCCCAAGCGGCGCCACATAGGCATCCACAGCCCAGACCACAGCAACAGCCACAGCAACAGCATCAGCATCAACAGCTGCGTTTGCTTGAGGACGAACCACCATTGTCGTTTCGGCCCCTGCTCGAGGACGACGACATCAACGAGCCACCCACACAGGCGCTGCAGCAGCGGACACCGGTGCGTGCCAGCGGCAGCTTGGAGCTGACACCGCTGCCCCCACCACCCACGTCACAGGAGATACGCGAACATCGCGACAGACAGCAGCGCAGCGTGCCCTTGCCCGTGGAGGAGCTGCAGCGTAGCAAGCAATCGCTGAAGGGCTCCCGCGTGTCCTTCGAGAAGAACAACGCCAGCAGCAAGCAGGCAGCGGAGAGCAGCGACGACGACAGCTTCGAGGACAAACGGATCGGGTTCCAGCAGCAGAAGGCCACCAGCGTGGACCACAAGGGCATATTGAAGGACCTGAAGCACATTTTGGCCAACGACAATCGGCGCCAGTTCCAGGCCAAGAAGCACGTCTCGCTGGATGTCAAAGGCACGCGCTTCCTGCAGGATCTGCTGAAGGAGTCATCCTCGGAGGAGGAGTTCCACAAGACGCGACGCGAGTTCCAGGGCCGCAAGCACCAGAGCCTCGATCCGCGTGTCACCTTCAAGCTCGACAAAGTATTACAGGGCTCCAGCACCGACAGCGACGAGGAGGGCGACGACGCCGAGCACAAGCGTCTCATCCATCGGCCCAAGGACATCACCAAGCCAGTCATTATCGACCTCAAGGATTTGGAGAGCGAAAGCGACGAGGACTTTCACACATCGCGCCAGCACTTTCAGCAGCAGCGCTCCATCAGCACAGATTCCCGCAAAAGGTGAGTGCCAAGGGGTCAAAGCATTATCGCTGGATTATTTGTTCGCTCGACGACAAGACAAAATACAAGATTCCACGAAATTATAGACAGTAAATCAATGAGAGATCAGAGACAGAATTACTATTCCAAAAGTTAAGAAAGAAGTTCCAAATGGTCTCCGATCCAGCAGCAAATTCGGCAGCAAAACCTAATGCGTAGCATTTTCCTTTCGCTTTAATTAAAGTGTCTCTGGCGTCAAGTGGAAGACGAATAGTATTTTGATAGTTTAATGACGGTTTAGTCACCTTCTAATCCAACATTGAAACGCAATTTCAGCCGTCGACTGTACGAGATGGATGAGATGGGGAACAAGCGGGGCGAGAACATCCGTCATGCAGTGCCCTTTGTGCGGCAGATAACCGAAGACGGCAAACCCAAGCTGGAGGTCTACAGGCCGACAACGAATCCCATCTATATATGGACACAGGTAGGGTTCAAAAAGACTACAAGAGAGTGTGCTATAGCTATTCCTATTGCTATCACTATTACTATTACTGGTGATCTATATAAGAGTCTCAACCATCCACGAGACGCAACGTGCGACTGACCATTGTCAGCTCGTTAAGCTTGTTGGCGCCGCCTCGCGGCTTTGGATATAGTTATGGATTATGAATGGGCATTAATGCCATCATAAAGCATTCTTTGAGCCAATTTAAGGCCCACGACGTAGGCCCCACATTGTGGGTCAGAGCGGGGCACGCGTGTCGAGTGCTATTTTCGCACGCCTTGAATAATAATTTTCTGCTGCTGCTACTGCTGCTGGCGTTCACTTTAATTGAAATTAACGCATTTAGTTATGGCCGGACTAAAAATACAAGTAGCTGATGGATGGTATTGGATACGAGTCGAATGCAATGGCACTCTGTGCCCCTAAGGGGCTTCCTCCTGGTGTCCGGCAGTTGCACTTTTGCTTCGTCCTCGCCAGAGCTCGCTCGCTCGCTGCCGGACTCCAGCTAAGCCCAGACACGGCACGCAAGCATCTTCATCTTTGAGTGTGGATGCTGCTTATCAATCTCCCTCTCTCTGTGGGTTTTGGCACTCGTAAATAGCGTGATAAGCCTGTAGGCATAATCGATGTGCAGCCAGAGGCAGTAGCAGCAGCAGCAGCAGCAGCAGTCAATAAGTGATAAGCCACCAAAAGTGCATCTACATAACCGCCAGTTACATTATATGTTTTTGTCATTCATGTGTACGTGCCTGAGCCTAACAAATAGATCGCAAAACGGTTCGATTCTCACAAAACTGCAACTGCAAAATGACAAGTTTCAGTTGAGTTTCGTCGGTCAAACGTGCTGAAAGCATTCACAGCAAGGAGTGCAAGGCTTAAAGTGAAAGGCAGCCGCAAACGCAACCTTGTGGCATACATAAGTCAATTAGATCGTTGTGTAGATCCGCATAGAAAGTGTAGAGCTTTGCCAGCATGAAGATCTTGATGCGTGCGGACACTCATGTGTCCTTCTCCGTGCCCGTGGAGGAGCCCAAGGCCATATGCACATTCTCTCAGGTGGATTTCCTATCCAACGCCAATCTCCTTTGATCTATAAAAGTGTTTAACTTGTAATTCAATTTAATTTCAGGTCTTGGCTGCTTTGAGCGTCTCCCTGGGCTCCCTGGTGGTTGGCTTTGTCAGCGCCTACACCTCGCCGGCGTTGGTTTCAATGACCAACGGCAATATCACATCGTTTGAGGTCACAGCACAAGCGGTAAGCAGAAATTCCACGCTTTCCCAGCGTTATTCTTTGCCCATTTAAACCTTTTTTTTTCTCCTCTTTTGCAGGCCTCTTGGGTGGGCGGCATCATGCCTTTGGCTGGTCTTGCGGGCGGCATTGCTGGCGGACCCTTCATTGAGTATTTGGGCAGACGCAACACCATCCTGGCCACCGCCATACCCTTCATTGTCTCCTCGCTGCTGATTGCCTGTGCCGTGAATGTGGCCATGGTGCTCGCGGGACGCTTCCTGGCTGGCTTCTGTGTGGGCATTGCCTCGCTCTCGCTGCCCGTGTACCTAGGCGAGACGGTGCAGCCGGAGGTGCGCGGCACTCTGGGACTGTTGCCAACGGCCTTCGGTAATATTGGCATATTGTTGTGCTTTGTGGCCGGGACATATATGGACTGGTCGATGTTGGCCTTTTTGGGTGCGGCATTGCCGGTGCCGTTCCTCGTCCTCATGTTCCTCATCCCGGAGACGCCGCGCTGGTTTGTGAGCCGCGGCCGGGAGGAGCGTGCCCGCAAGGCACTCACCTGGCTGCGCGGCAAGGAGGCAGATGTGGAGCCGGAGCTTAAGGGACTGATGCGTTCGCAGGCCGACGCCGATCGTCAGGCTACACAGAACAAAATGCTGGAGCTGCTGAAGCGCAACAACCTGAAGCCGCTGTCCATCTCGCTGGGCCTGATGTTCTTCCAGCAGTTGAGCGGCATCAATGCGGTCATTTTCTACACTGTGTCCATATTCAAGGACGCCGGCTCGACCATCGACGGCAACGTGTGCACCATCATTGTGGGTGTTGTCAATTTCCTGGCCACCTTCATTGCCACCCTGCTGATTGATCGCGCCGGACGCAAGGTGAGTGACGAATGAACAAAGCTTGGAGTGCGTTTCCTGACGTCACTTTTCTTTTGCCTGCAGATCCTGCTGTACGTGTCCAACATCGCCATGATCATCACGCTGTTTGTGCTCGGCGGCTTCTTCTACTGCAAGGCCCATGGACCAGATGTCAGCCACCTCGGCTGGCTGCCACTGAGCTGTTTTGTCATCTACATTCTTGGCTTCTCGCTGGGCTTCGGTCCCATCCCCTGGCTGATGATGGGCGAGATTTTGCCGTCGAAGATACGCGGCTCCGCAGCCTCCGTGGCCACCGCCTTCAACTGGTCCTGCACCTTTGTGGTGACCAAGACGTTCCAGGACATGATTGGTGAGCAACCAAAGAAGGAGCTAGAGCTAGAGGTGGATGCTAATGAATGTTTTGTCTTGTCCTTGCTTAGATTTCATGGGCGCACATGGAGCCTTCTGGCTATTTGGATCCATTTGCTTCATTGGCCTGTTCTTTGTGATACTTTATGTGCCCGAGACGCAGGGCAAGACGCTGGAGGATATCGAGCGCAAGATGATGGGCCGTGTGCGGCGCATGTCATCGGTGGCGAACATGAAGCCGCTGGCCTTCAACATGTAAAGAAACACGTTGGAGTCGAGAGTCCATGGCCATAATCAAGGATCTAAATGCGATCAAACCAAATATTAGGCTAGTGCCCTTAGTGCTTAAGTTGTGTAACAGCGCAAAATGGAAGAATAGAAGCAGAAGCCTGGCTGCAGGAGGAGTACTTGGACCTGGGCCTGATATTGTTAGTCCTAGCTATCGTTTAATGCTTAGCAAAACAATTTCCTTTCTACACACATAATTCGTTACTATTATTTATAGCCACTAAGTGCATAGTTTTATTATGTAATGTATGTAAATGTATGTAAATTATGATGAGTTTTAGCCATTAGTTTATTTGTTCATGCATAATTTATCGGTGTACAAACAAAAATGACATCAAAACGTAGAACTAAATCTAAATCTAGAATCCCCGCAACAATCTCCATCGAAAGAAATACACCAATTGGCTATATCGAATATATAATTGTATGCTATACCTAAGTCCTAAGTGTAAACTAATTTAAAACAACAAAAATACAATCAAAAGAACAATTTCAAGTGCATTCTCTCCAGCTGCTGCTGCTGGAATTTCCCATAGCCAAGCAGTCACGCCCCTCTCTCTGGGTCAAAAATGAATGAGCAAATATTTTACATACGACCTTCAGGGTGCACAGTTAACAGTTGGAAACAATGTCAGCGCCTCAAAATACGTGAGTTTCATTGGGTAGAGTCTAAGGCTAAATACAGACGGATGGCCATTCCAAATGCACATGAAAATTGCACTACAAAAATAGAAACGCATTTACGTCCCGTCCCGTCTCGTCTCGCCATCCCGTACAGTCCAGATTCAGTGGCGTTGGCAACAGCATTTTGTATTGTATAATTGACCATTTTCATTTGATATTTTTTATAGACAAACACCGACATTTGGTCGGCTGACGCTCAGCGTAGAGATGCAGATAAGATGCAGGAGGTGCAGCATTACATGGGCCTCGCTTCGATTCGGGGTTTCATTCCTTATCGGATTCCCATTAGCAAATGGAAGATGGCAAGCGGTGCATTCGCCCGATGCCTGACTGCCACTAGACAGATCTTGAAATAGTTGCATCTATTTGTAACCTCCCTACCACTCAATGTAATCTGTTGTTTGATTTGCCTGGATTGAACTGGTTGCAATGGGAGCAGTCACGCACAATGGATTTGTTCTACAATCGTCAACGATGGATTAAACAATGTATTAGGTATGGAAGTGGATAATATAACTAAATATTATACAAATTCTGATGCTATCTAGATATCTGTCCAGGAGTAGAGTCAAGTTTGAGGGCCAGCATTGGGACGGAAGCATGGAGCCACAGCTGCAGAATCTTATAAAGTGGATCCCAGATATTATTAGATTCGAGTTCTCTCTGATTACTCTACCCAGCTGCAGCTCTGCTCTTCCTCTCTCTCTCTTTGTCTCTTTGCTGCCCTTTGTTTTTGATGTTTCAATCGAACCTGCACTTTTCGCTCAACGCTTAAATTTGACAGCAAATGTGGCCAACTTATCAAGTTGTTTAAGTGTATATTTCGTGCCCAATTTAAATGCATTTACTCACCCATTACTTGAACACGGCAAATTGCACAAATATCGCACTCCACGTCCCAGCTCCACATAGCCACCGCGTTCCATTTCTTTAGGGTGAACATATTCTCCGGTTTACTGGATTCGCTGTCATCTGTGGGTCGGTCCATAGAGCTCTCTGGGTCGTCGGCCATGTTGGGCATGTCAAGTGACTTGTGGTTAATTGTTATTTATTGGAAATTAATAAATTGTAAATTGTAAACACAACAGCAATGTGACCGCGGAATTATCGATAAAATATACCGTCAGACCCTACAAAATATACCCAAATATAATATCTCATTTTAAAAATATACCGTGGTCTTAAATCATATGCCTCGATTTTGATGTTCTATTTCATATTACTAGCTTGCAAAGAGTTTTAGTACTGAAACAATAATTTAATCCGATTGAAGAATCATTTTGGCTTATTATAAATACTCCTTTTTATTCGATTGTATACCTATGAATTTTTTATTCAAATCACCCCCTGTACCTATGTATGTAAATGTATGAAACATGTAGAGACACATGTAAGTTAACTGATATAGACTTCGGTTTATACATTGGAGTTACTCAAAGGAAAGCAGCTTTAAAAACTCCCTTAGAAAACCAAGGGAGCTTTCATGGTGCGAAATTTGTACCAAAAATTAAGGTAAACAGGTAAATACGTCACAAAAATTCCAGTGGCGCCAGATAAATTACACCGGCGATTTTAATCCTACGTGGGAAGTTCTCCCAGGAAAGTTCTCTCCTGTGTTCTCTCCTTGTGAACCGGTAGGTATAGTATAGTACGGGCATTTGTATACCCTGTTTTCATGAATTAATATTAAAACATAATTTTCAAAGCTGCTACCAAACATTAATAATGACTTTATCTTATACTGACAGGTTTTTATATATCGATTGACTTGTTTTTGCATTGATTGGAGCCAGATGTCCAAAATGTCTTCAATTCGAGGATGGTACCTCCAAGGTACTAAGTGTTGCTTACCAACCTGGTTTTGAGAATTAGTTTACAGTTTACTGTAAAAACCGTAGCCTGCCTGATAGTATGCTTCTCTAAGTGACAAAGCCAATGCACAGCGCTGCCAGATCGATGAAGCGCTTAACAGCTCTGCGTCTCTTGTATGTAATGGCCAACGTTAATGCTGGTTGATGTGGGCGCTCAATTTAAACGCCTACAGATAATTATTACACCTTAATGTGTGTCTTTTGACTGCAATTGTAATTGCACGCACTTAACAAGCGCAATAAATGCAATGCATTTCGAAATGCAAAACAATTTGGCGCTAGCCAAGCGACGGACACGACACCACGCTACGATTATTGGCCACAAAATGGGGCCATTATGTACCTGCTTCAAGTGTTTTCGTAGCTTATTCCGCTTCAATTGCAACCGGAGCAAAGGCAGCCCAAGCCGTGAATTTGTTGGCAATCTATGAATCGTGTTCATCTTTTCTTTCACATTATGACAGCTCTGGCTGCGGCTCATGGGGTTTTGGTTACACTGAGGCGAGCGTTTCCTGCAATTAATTTGGCAGCTCGATGATGCAATCCCGCCAGCAAATCGCTCCTTGCATAATGGACTGGCCAAAGAATACACACAGCAGCGGCAGCAGAGGAATTGCACAACAGCAACCGGTTTTTCTTTCATTTTTCATTTTCATTTCCATTTTGCTGCCTGTTGTTACCGTTACTCGTACCATCACGTTTCGTTTCGTGTGGGGTGTTCGGTTGGTAATTTTCACTTTCACTGGCTGCCTGCCTCCCCCCAGGCAAGACCCCACCAATAATTAATTCCCCTTTGGCTTTTGGAGTGTTTCTTTAGCTTATAATTTAAATAAGAAATAAGAAATTGTAGTTGGCCTAATACAATGATAAAAGTACTAACACATTTGGCTTACAACTGATGTGGGGAGAGCGAACCAGTTTGGTCCCACTCCCCACCAGATCTTAATCCGAGTAGCTGGTCAGTTTGTCCTCTCACCCGCTACTCGCTTCAGCTCTCCTCCTTCTTCTGCTCTGTCTGCTCCTCCTTCTCGTGTCACCCGTTCAACGTCCAGCTCAACGTTGCCTCGTGGATTCATAATTGAAGACTCGCTGTTAGTGTCTTCGCTTGCTTCTCGTTCTCCTCTTTCTGCTCTTGTTCGTTTACTGCCTCTTCTTCTTGTGCTCGCGTTCTGTGCTGGCGCTGGGGCTCTAGTAGCCGTGTCCGTGTCCATGTCCATGTCCATGTCCGTACTCGTGCTGGCTCTGATGATGATCCTCGTGCTGCTTGTAGATTGGCACTTCCACGTGGTATTTGTGTGGCACCGGAATCTCCCTGTGAATGGGCACCTTCACCTCGGTGTAGACGGGAATTGGCTTGTCGATGGGCACCTTCACCTCATACGGTACGGGCTTCTCGACGGTGTAGTGAACCTTCTTCTCCACGGTATAGGGCTGTGGCACAGGCACCTTCACATGGACTGGATATGGTTTCTCCACCTGCAGGCGAAAAGATTAATGAAACAAAATTAATTTAGTTAAATTTAAAATCAGTTTTCCTGTGGGGAGCTGCAATTCTTACCTCAACTTTGTAGGGTTTGTCGACGGGCACCTTCACCTCGTAGGGTACCTTCTGCTCCACGACCACCTTGTATGGCTTCTCGACTTCAACATCGTAGGGTTTCTCCACCTCCACATCGTAGGGCTTCTCCACCTCGTATTTGACTTCATAGGGCACCTTCTTGATCACTTCATAGGGCTTGGGCACGGGCACTTCGATCTTAACCTCATGTGGCACCTTCTTGATCACTTCGTAGGGCTGTGGCACGGGCACTTTCACCTCATATGGTATCTTCTTGATCACCTCGTACGGCTGTGGCACATGAATCTTCACCTCGTAGGGCTTGTCCACAGGCACCTTCACCTCATAAGGGATCTTCTTGATGACCTCATATGGCTTGGGCACATGGACGGGCACCTTAACGTACTCCTTCACATGAACAGGCACTTTCTTCTCCACAATATAAGGCTGTGGCACATCGACCTTAACCTCATAGGGGATCTAATAATGGTTCGGATCGGATGGGTGATGTTATTTATGCGTTCTATTTTAAGGGACCGGATTGCTCACCTTTTTCTCGACGGTGTAGGGCACATGCTTGGTCACAGTATAATGGACTGGAACCTTCTTCTCGATGGTCACCGTCTTGATGTGCTCGTGATGATGCTGGGGCTGATGGTAGTGATGATGGTAGCTGCCCTCACTGCCATAGAGGCCACGCTTCTCGACGGTCTTTTCATCCGCCCCACCACTTTCGGCTTTCTTCTCCTCAACTGCCGCACAGTGGGCCAATGCCAAGCACACGGCGAGACAAGGAAGTACGAACTGCAAGGAAAAGGATAATCCACATATATATTTGGTCACGGCATCGCTGGTCCTGGTCCACAAATTACCATTCGCATTGTTGAGCTGTTGATTTGACGTTTCACGGGGGAAACAATTACTCCACGATTAGCTGTGTTATACCAATAACGAGATCCAAGCTGGTACTGATTCGCTCTACCGCTGCACTCGGCTTTTATACACCGAAAAAATTGCTTGGCTTGTCTTTTGCTTTTCTATATCTCGCAACGCAATTCACCCAATCACTGAGACCCAAAGGGGGGGGGGCGAAGACCCCGCGAGACTGCGGCTGCGCGAAGGCGCATTCGCAACATTTTGTTGTTGTTGTTGTTGTTGCTGCTGCTGCTGTTGTTGTGGATTTTGGCTTAGTAATGAAAAGTTAGTTGGGGGAACGGTGTTATATGAAAACTTGTTTCGGGTTTG